ACTCAGGGGGCTTGCTTCATCTGACGTGGCGCGGCTGTGGCCGATTTCATTTACCTTGTTGCGTTGCTGGTGCAGGTCATCGTTGGGTTGACCCTGGCGGCTCCCATTTGATTGACAAGCCGATTGACAGTCATCGAAGGCAGTCTTCAATAGCCCCTTCAACAGGCGCGCTAGATTGATACATGTCTATTGATATCACCGCTGGATATCGATAGGTTCACATATCAATGCATCGATGCATTGATATACTTGGCCAAGCACGTCTTCAACAAGGGCGTGTCTTGTGTTCTTACTGCAGCCCTCTTGAGTACCTGCATGTTATTGCCACGTCTGTCTTCGAGATCTGCATGTTTTTCAAGCTCCCGCCATTGTTGTCTGCATGTTTTTTGACACTCTCGCTATTGTTGCATGCGTCGGTGTGCTTCTCGCCAACACTCGTGCTGTGCATGTCTCTGTGACGCATAATTCACCGCCACTTCGCACGCTGCTTTGGACCCCCGCCCAATTCGCGGCCCGGGGTGCCCACGCAGTGGGTGCCCCTTACTCGGAATCTACGTAGAGAATCGAAAAAGGTATCAACGGGAAAATTTCCCTCCACAGACAGATAGTAAGTGAGCCACTAATCTTTTTGACAACACCTCCTCTTCAACACATGGTCGTACTTGAGCACAAGAGCGTCCTGAATTGCTTGCAGCTTCCCATGGTGCCATGGAAAAGTCTTTCTGCACTCTGGTTTAGGTGCTCGCTTGTGGCTCATGATGACCAGCCTGCGGGACTCGTAGACGAAGCACCCAGTCCCAAAGGTAGGCGGCACCTCGCGCTGTGTGTTGATCACCCCGAGTGCAGCATTGATGGCCGCCAGCTGACGCCTGTCCCGCGTCGTGAGATTAGCGTCCCCCTCCTCGTCGCCACGTGCGGGTGACGTGTCACAGACGGCGCACTTGCCCGTCAACAGGTGCTGCCGTTTGAGCTCCAGAGCCTTGAGCAGCGCCTCCATGCTGGTGCTGCCCCCGCGCGAGGCCCCTGGAGTGAAGGTAATCTTACACCGACCGCCATGCCTTTCGTGGCTCATCACCTGCATGCACGCATAGATCAATACTGGTGATGAGTCCGTTCTCAACGAATGTACGTGATATGTTTCTACTCTACCCATGTCGATGAGGTTTTCGACATACGGTAAACGCCAATCCTCCGAGGAAGAGTCACCTCGCGTCCGGCCTCGACCTCCCTAGGAGAAAATTGTCCGGACAAAAATCCACACAAGAGATTCCGTCGGTCCAATTCTCCGTTGTGAGCGCGGCGCGCCCCTGTCCGTGCACCCCAATTGGGGCCAAGCTGGCAATCCCTCCAGATGCGAGCTTGGGGGCTTTTTGCAAGGTACCCCAAGCTGTTTTACGGACACGCCTGCCCCAAAGCCAGGCCACACTTGGCCGCTGGAGCGGCTGATTGTTGCTTTGGTGGCTCAGAGGGCGCTCATTTTTCCACTTCCCCCTTCTGGCTTCTGTACACTTGCCATGGCTCTTGCTGGGCGACAGCGCCCGTTCTTGTGTATGTAGCCGGAATCGGTGTTTGTCAACGTTCTACAAGGCAGCCAGTGCTCTCTGTTGCCATCTGTTTTGTCCGCCGGTGCCAGTACAGGGAGGGGTAGACAGGCCGTGTGCATGCTTTGCATGTACGTGCTGCTAGTGTACTCGTGAGACAACAGGATCCCTCCGGGGTTACAGACACGAGTCTCGTTAAACACAATAAACAACCAACCAAGTGGAGACTGTTGACAATGATGGACATCCTAGGCGCGGTCAAGGTACCTTAGGCGTGTCGGTCGATGAAGGTACTTGACAGTGGGTGTCTGTTTGCGCCTTTTTCAGGTCAAAGATGGTCTGTTTGTCGGCGATGAGGTACGCAATGAAAAACAAGGCCACAAGTGCAAGGCCGTAGACGATAGCAGTGGCCTCACTGAATTTCCTCAGCTTTCAGCGCACGATTTTGAATTTCTTCTTGCAAACAAGGTTCCTGAGAAGTCTGGATGAGAAGGGCTTTTCATTCTGGACGGGCAACATGTGTGACGGCGGTTTTGTATGGCAGGTCTCTCACGTCGTGAATTGCGCTGGGCGCCAGGTGCCTAACAACTATGAGAATATCGGCATTCAGTACCTCACTTACTTTTGGATGGACCATGACAACCAGGTAGGGAAAATATATATGCGCGGCCATACCCGCTGGGTAGCCCATGTGACTGGCACTACTGTGTGGGTCTTCTTGTTTGCCATATGTTTCCCCAGCTGATCCTGGACAACCGAGATCAGGTTGCCAACGAGGTGGCGGCGTTTATTCAAGAAAGCGTCGATGAGGGCGAGTCAGTTCTCATCCACTCCTTCCGGGGGCAGTCACGGTCCTGTTGCATCGTCGTCGCCTACCTGATGAAGAGGTACCTACATAAAACACACATGCACGTCTCCAAGCGTGTGACTCGACGGCACAGACAGACAGACAGACAGACACACAGACGTGCACACCTGAGGCCAGGGGCCGCGCGAGATGTAATGGCTCCACTGCCGGTATGGGTGCGGTGCCCCGTGTCTGGGTCTGTATGTGTTGTGAATGCAGGTACCAATGGTCACTGGAGAAGACCATCGAGTACCTGACGTCTCGTCGAGGCGACATTCAGATCAAGCGGGGCTTCATGAAGCAGCTCGAGGACTACGAAAAGAGGCTCTTCGGACCCAACCTCAACAAAAAACGATCCGTCGATTGGAATGGTACGAATCTGTGTGTCAAGTGCCGCAGGCGGTAGCGCCTTCCACCGAACGTCTCTCACTTACTCTGCATGTGCTTCTTCAGACGGCCCTGTAGCCGACCTGGACTCGGAGGAACTTTTGCTGAGGAATACCTACATTAACTCACGAAACGACAATCTTGCTTCGAGTAACTGTGGCTCCCCGACGCTAGTATTTGTCATTTGCGCTTTCTCCCTACTCCTGGGACCTATTTGTTGTTTTGCAGCGCAGCCGTCGTCGCCGAGCGCGCCGGGTCCCGGCGAGCCTTCAAACGGCACGCGTCGTCTGGCGTGGGCGGACCGCGGCGCGGACGACAAGGAGCGCCTCGAGACCACCAACCTATCCTCGTCAGCAGCTCCCCTCTCGACGGACCCGCCCAGTTTCAGCACCGTCAACGGCACCAAAGCCACCCTCAAGTCCATTCTTAAGAACAGAGTCGCCAGCGCCAGCACGCCGTCGCCCTCGGTAGCTAGTGCCACCTTCGTCCCGGCCTCAGCATCATCATCCACTGCTCTCGCTGCGAGCAGCTCCACCGGCAAAACCGTAGCTCCAGCGGATGACGGGCAGAGGGCCGGAGATAAGTTATGTGGCACATTGTTGGATTCAGGGCCCTCGAAGGGTAGGTCGGTCAGTCAGTCGAGGCAGCCCTGGAGGGAGGCTGTCCCTCTCGTTATACTCACGTGTCTGTCTGTCTGTCTGTCTCCTGTGGGTGCAGATACATCGCAGCACACGACCGCTTTCGTGCCCTCTCTGCGCGCCAGTTCCGTCGGCGAGCAGTTCTTCAGTAGCCAGGCCCACACTTCAGCGAGCAGCAACGGTGTAGTGTCATCATCTGCGTTCTTCCAGCAGCTGCCTCAGCCGAAGGCTCCTCAAGGCGGTCAGACGTGCACGCAGGCTCCCAATGGAGTAGTGGCGGGGGCCCTGAATGCGGGTCGGGAGGTGGCCATGGGCACCGAGCAATCCAGCGGGGCACAGAGGCAGGGGACAGGCAAGGAGATGTCCGGTGCGGCTGCCAGCAACCTCAATGCCGGTGTCTCGGGGGCCGCCGTGGGGCCTGAGTCGGGATCCTTGACAAAGAATGCCGGCGCCAGTGCGCATGACATAGCACCTGCTGCACCCGCCTCTCTATACACTACTAAAGACGCAAGGTGTAGCCGAAAGGACTCATCAGGTCGGTGAACACTGCAAATATGAAGATATGACGTAGAGATTACGTTGGTTCAGATGTATGCGACAGCACGAGTGGTGTCAAGACCAGCAGCGGGCCCTATTCAGCCGGTGACAGCTGTCGTGGACTGCAGCTCAAGATGTTGAAACGCCATCAATACATCCCCCCCGCCGAGGCACGTGCTGACATCGACACTCCTACGTCGGTCGTCGATGACGGGCAGCCTTCGCCCACAGATACAGCACAATCCAACAGAGACTACCGCACATCACAGAACAGCAACGGGACGGGGCTCACACAAGCCAACAACAAGGTGCGCCGTGGTTGAGTAGTCCATCGTACCATGCACGTCCGTCTCTCTGTGTCTCTGTCTGTGCAGGATGAGGCCTCTCATGCACCTAGCAGGTTCACGCAAGCCGTGCAGAGGAGGGAGGTTTTCCCATGGGCTACTGGCGAAGGTCAGCAGCACCGTTTGCCGGGCGATGCATGCACTCATTCATGTGGCAAGCCATTGTCAGTCAGCCAGTCAGTCGAGTCGGTTCGTACCAGGCAGGCGTACGTTTTCATTCATTCTTCATGATTCCTGCAGATGAGGATGGCCATGGCGAGCATCGCAGTACGTCCGAGAACGCTCGGAGCATTCTCCGTAAGGGCGCCTTGAGCGCGAACCGATGCGACCTTTGTTATGGCGCTACCCTGTCTGATGTTGATGGATGCTGGACGTTCTCATTCGTGTGTCAGGCCGGGGACTCTACCGGGACGTGTTTGACCAAGATGCTGCCTTCCGGTACCCGATACATGGATGGCTGGATGATTCAATGCAGCCACAGGCGGCAATGAATGTATCTTTTTATGTGCGTAGGAACACTGCATCTGTCCGTGAGCTGAAGAATGGTTCGCACAGTGGTGCTGCCTTGGGCAGCTTTTTTCTGGGTTCCTCGCTGTCATTGAACGCACCGCATAACCTTGGCGCTGCCGACGGGTTCCTGCCGATGCACACCACCAACGGAAGGCAGGCACGGGCACTGGATACCCGCTCGGCTCGTCCGTCGACGCCCCCACTGATGCTCCGTCAGGGCTCACCGACATCGGCCAATGGTGCGGAGTCCCGGCAGGCTGCATCGATGGGCTTGACTGTCGGGCTGGGGCTGGGAGGGGACCCTGCAGGTGCGTCCGTGGCGGGCGGAGTGGGAGGAAGCCTCAACAACACCTACAACCGCGACCGCATGGCGGAAGGGGGATCCTTGCATCTCACTGGGGCATACGGAGCGTACCGCGAGAGGGGGAGCTCGAGGCGAGACTCAGGGGTTACGCCACCGAATCGGTGGGCACGATGGAAGTGACCAATCGCCACCATCCAGTGTTCTCATATTTGTGCAGAGTCCGCGAACCGTCACCGATGCTCGGAGCAAGCCAGCGAGAGCGTGGAAGCAGGTCAATAAAGTTGGGCCAGAGGACGCCCCCTGCTAACGTGGCAGTGGAAGGGGCTGGTATATATTGTTTGCTGTGTCCGAACAGCGCATCCCTTCGAAAAGGTTCGCCCGGCCCTCTTCGTCTGGGGGGGTCTAACGCATCGGCATCACGGGCCTTCGCCGGATACGAGAAGAGTAGAGTGGTGAGCGAGGCTGGAGGACTAGTCTGGCTAGCGCTTGTGTCCCATTGCACCAAACTGTGTGTGGGTGTGTGTCACCGCTGGCTGTGTGCAGATGACCAACGGCTTTGGCAATGGTACCCTGTACGGAAACCTCAACCGAGATGGTCCGTGACCTCATCGCACACCGCACCTGTCTGACCGCTACCCGAAGCGACCACAGTGTTGCGATTCGGTTGCCGCAAGTGTTGGGTGTGCGTTTGTGTGTATGTCTTTGTGTCGTGCAGATGGCCAATCACAGCGGTCCGGCGGCTTCAGACCTCGCGGTGATGGGAGCGCCCGTGTGGGGAGCAGTGAGGACGAGTGCCAGGAGCAGTACGGCAGCAATGCAATGCGCAAGAAGAGGCCATCAACCGCGCCATCCTCGAGACCATACCTGACACATGGTCCGCTAAACAAGAGGCTTCGATGACAGACCGTACAAGACGACACAGGCATTTTTTCCTCCCTCACTCGCTCTCAGGCCGCCCTCCGTCTCCTGGTCCTTTGCGGGGGACCCTCAACGGTCGCCCGCCATCACCGCACCACTCGCGACCCGCGTCGCCAGGTACGCTCATGTCTCCATACACACGCAACACAGCAGTCACGCCGTTATTTGTTGTCCAGCGGTTGGTGTATCTGTACCTGCCCCCACGACTACTCTGCTTTCGATGAGTGGTGGCAGTGGGCTGCTCCTGGACAAGTTCGCGGGAGGACACTCCATCACGGCTGGCGGCAGATCGGGACGCACACTGTCAGGCCATCTCAAGCGGTACGAATTCATGTATATACGCTTGCACCCGATGGTCGGTGGAGGCAGTCGACGCTGCAATGCCCGTCCATGTACCCGCTCAGCGGCCCACCTGTGGTGGCGTGGCATGCATGTCTCTGTCAGGGCGCCGTCTCCCACCCCCATGCACCTCAACAGGACCCACGGCGCCGGTAGGCCCCGCTGGCGAATGTGAACACGGCGAGGAAGGAAGGAGAGAAGGATGTGATTGACTAGATTGAGTGAATAGCAAAGCTGACCGAACAAACACCCCCAATATCAGTTGGCCGAACCCTCATATTCAATACTACTCTTCCGATCGTTGGTACCCCTTCCTCGCTTGTCACCCCCTTTCCGTTTTTCAAATAAGAGGCTTCTGCCCTGATGCATAACACACACTTGGTCGATGCCCTCACGTAGCACCTCTGGGACATACATGCCTCTCTGCAGTCAATGCGTCCGACAACTAGTTGGTCAGACGTAAATGTTTTCATTGGTCTGCTCGTTGAAGGCTCCTCCCTTGGGTTTGCGACTTTAACATGGGAAAACCTGTTTTTCGCCCCGGAGAACACTGAGACGCATCGGCACAGCACTGAGACACTCAGAAAAAATGAGTCGTTGATAGATGGATGGATGGATTGATCCGCCTGCTCTGTCTCTCTCTGTACGTACTTTGCAGGGTGACTCAATTCAGTGCATTGAGGGACTCGAATCTCCCTCTCGATGGATAACGCTTCACCAGAGAATTCCACTCGTTGCGAGCTAGTGATCGAAGAAGGCAGTGCAGAAAGTCATCTCGCCACTCAAAAGCCATCTTTCTCTAGAGATCTTTCTTTACAGGCAATACAACTCTGCGTATATGAGCATGATCGATCGATGGGCCTGCCGTGAAGGCTCGACGAACGGTTACGAGCGGGGAGGGGCCCCCGTGTGGGAGGCGGTCGGCAAGGAACAAATTTCGCACCAATATTGCTTATCCACCTTCTCCTGACTCGTGATTTTCTATGGACTCGCACAGACTCGTTTTACTAAACCGTGAAAGGGACGCTGCACTGTCATTGCACTGTTATGAACGTATTATCCCCGACTGTCTGTCTCTGTACAGAAAACCAGCCTCTCTACAGAAAAGCAGCTGCTCGTGCAGAAAACCAGCAGCCCTGTACAGTGTACAGAAAACCCGTCTTGAGGACAGAAAACCGGGTTTTGGAGGCTGAAAAGGAAAACCGAGTCTCACAAGCAGAAATCCGGGCCGCTGACGCCTGCCGAGTGCTCCCTGATGACCGCTGGTATGCAGCCTGATGCCCGCCGACTACTCCCTGGTGCATGCTTGCGTTTCCTGGCCGATCAGCCGACTCATGGCGTCTCAATCAATGCGATGCACGGATGATCAACCGATAGCCAATGTCTGCTGCCTGGCGGCCGTCGGCAACACACCGGCGAACACGCAATGCACACCTTCAGCCGACAATCACATCCTACCTCACAGGCATCAGTCTACAGAGAGACGAAACAAGTGCGAAACAAGTCAATTTCGTCCTGGTGGGGTGTAGGTAGGAGACAATAAGGCAGTCGCACACTGGCACAAATTGGAGTTGGAAAGCCGTCTGAAGACTCGTTATGCTGGGGAGAGAGGAATACAGACAAAGTGGGGCCTTGCACGCGCGAGTACATGCCAGAAAGCATGAATTCACCTCATGCTTGCTACTCCTCGATGGGCCTCGCCGCGAACGCGGCTCGACGAACGGTTACGAGGGGGGAGGGGCCCCCGAGTAATGGGAGGCGATCGGGAAGGGACACCAGGCAAAATGTCGCACCAAAGTCGAATGTACACAAATTTCCAGTGATCGCGATTGGCCACGGGCTGACCTTTAGGGTAAATCCTGAAAGGGAGCGTGCAAGAGATGCAACGATTTGACGGTATTTTGCAAGGATCCGGGGAGAGCGGATGAAGCGGACTCAGTCATTAGCGGTAGCACTGGTCCAGAAGCCGACGATCGCTGTTTCTGATGGGTGATTGCAGTAAAGGCACACCGTGTGAAGTCAGATGCCTTGTGGACCATGCAATGTCGCCCCCTCCCCCTTGAACGGGGGAGGGGGCTTCAAAAGACAAGCTTCAATGTGTCAATGTTCATAGGTAGGAGACAACATGGCAGTCGCACGCTGGTGCAAATTGCAGTTCGAAAGCGTCTGAAGACTCGTTGTGCCGGGGGGAGGGGAAGACAGACAAAGTGGGTCCCTTGCACGCGGAGTACATGCCAGAAAGCATGGAGTCACCTCATGCTTACTCCTCGATCCAGAAAGCATGAATTCACGAGGGGGGAAGGTGGTGCAAGAAGAAAGAGATGTTATTCGGCGAGGGGGGGGGGAGAGATGGACAGGGGGCTGGCGGGGTGGGTGGCCTTGGGAAGGGCCCTCTTTCCCTCCCATCTCCCCGATCGAGTCGCCCGCCCCCTCTCCCACTGCGACATCACCGTCTGCAGCACAGACGGATGCGGTGGTGCTTCTGTCGTCGGCCGCTCAGCAGGTGGGTGCCCGGCCCAGCACTGCATTGTCCGATGCCGAGATGGAGCTCGAGGCCGCATATGACGTCATTCAGGGGTTCGTGGAGGGTCACGGCATGGCTGGGGAGGTGCTTCCTAGCCCTGTGCTGGAGCGGTTGGAGGGCGCTTTGAATGGGACGAGGGAGGTGACGGGTGGGCCGAGAGATCGACTGTTCAGGGGGTTGCGGAGGGGATCAAGCAATGCAGGGCGGTTGCTGGGCTATGCACTACACCAGAGGCGGATGTCAAATATGGAGTAGACAAGGGAGACACCGATATATATATAGAAATACCCACACAATATCAGTAGGTTTCGGACAGATTGACATAGCGCAACGGCGGAGATCTCTCAGGTCCTCACCTCTCTCTCCCTCCTTCCTCTCCATATTCGTGCTCTCTTTGTACGTCCTTTCCTATCGCCTTCTCCTGCAATCCTCCCTTTTCTATTTTTGATGTCGCGCGCATCTCTCAAGTGGCGGGTCTCGTTTGCAGAAACCCCGCATAGGAAGAAGAATATTCTCACAGCTTCTCCCTGCGCTGTTGCGCCTTACCTGGTTTATGACGGGGGAGGGGGAACATTCACGTCGCGTGAAAACCCTTTTCTCGGCGTTTGGCGGGATTTTCTTCGGTAAGGCAACTCTGAGAAGTCGTTCGTTCGTAACCCCGGGGGGACCTTGCCCCCGAGGGGTGCGGTAGAGGTGTCACTTCACGATAATCATGCTTGAACGTGGCCGTGGCGGACCAAAAGTGGCCAGCTCAAGCCCACACACCACCATCCACTCGCAACAGCCGACCAATAGGGAGAAAGGGAGAAAGGGCCAGGCGGGCATCAAAGCAGACCAGCCTCAGGAGAGGAACGCGCAGGCTAATGTGTGTTGCTGTGTCACCGGAAAGAGTCGCGCATCATCATCAATGAGAATGTACTTACTGAGTAGTCGATTTTGGTCGGCGAGATCAGTTGTCCTTCCTTTTCTAACCGTCATGGTCAGTCATGATTCCCCAACCTACGGGAACGCTCCAAATATCGCTGAGTCGCCGGGGGAACCCACGGCTGCGACACGATACGAGCCCACGCAGATACAGCCAGCCACACCCGTGGATGGATGAGTGATTCGGCGATGGACGACTGACTCGTCGCTGGGCTAGGTACCTGTGCGAAGAATACTGCATCCCTCTCGGGGCGTCGAGATTCGAAACAATCGTCGGCAGAGGACAGAGGCCAGGACTGCATCCAACGTAGGCGGGGATGGCACAACGACAAGATCCCACATCACAGGTACGGCGTGATGTCAAGCATGTAAGTACGTATGTCAACTGACCGCGGGGACTGCTTGTGAGCCCGAGCTGAGGACCGCGTGCAGAAACTGCCCCAGATACACACATTTAGACTTATAGGCAGCCACAGAATGATCCACGCACGCAGATGGTTCATTAGTGTGTGTCCCTGAGCTGTCTATGTGTCTACTTACTGGAGCTGCCTGCACTGATGTGAACACATGGGTTTGGATTTTAGTGGAATTACATCCGTGCCTACCTCCACAGGTGAGTTTGCGAAGGCCAGCATGTGGTTTCGCCTCCTGATGTGATGCTGAATCCGCTCCAGGATCTTGGATACCTGAAGGGCCAAGGGCAGGACAGCCGTGCAGGTAGAGGTTCAACCTTGCCTGCCCGCCTCCACGGCCAACAAGGGGCGTCCCTACCTGTTCGTCAGCTACCTCGATCTGGCGCCTGGCTTCAGCTATACTAGGCTGGCCATGCAGGGCCTTGGAGAGGTCAGTATGAAGCAAATGAGGGGTCTGCTCACACATGCAGCACAGCACCATTCAGACAAGGGAGAGAGGGAGAACGAGGGAATGAGCGGGGTAGGGAGAGGGGGAGAGGGAGGGCAGCGGCGTGGACGCCTCGTGCATCGTAAAGAGTACATATGTATCAACCTCAGATGTAGCTTGTTTACCTCTATGCATATTTCGTATGACGTCTCCGTGTCGATCCAGTCACAATGCAGTCTGCACATACACTCCCGGTAAGCCTGCCTGCCACCTGACTGCCTTGATCTGTGAGTTGGTCGGTCAGTCCAGCCTGACTGTGTTATCAGGACAGATTGACTCACTTGAGTTGGTGAGTGACTTCGATGGGCTTAGGCGGCCGCAGGTGAGGCCGGCACAGGTCAGGCAGGCTCGAAAGGGACACTGAATCCCCTACCGACGGAAACAGCTGTACCACGTGGGCAATCCATTCATTCACTCAATCATAACTTCATATCCGTTTGTGTTATACCACCATGCATACCTTCTTGATGGCTGCGTCTGCCTTGATGGCGAAATGTGGGCCCGGCAGGAACCCCCCCCTCGTCCTGGCGTACTCGCATATCTTCTTGATTACGCCTGGCACACCACCGCACGGATGAAACACAATCCCCTCGTATGCATTAATGTACGTGGCCATATAAGTGGCGCACAGTTGCGTACCAGCCAGTGAAGCCTGTTGTGTCCCCCCTGTGAGCTGCGTCAGCTCTTGACTCAACTGCAGGTGTTGGATGATAACACGAGGAGGGAACGGGGGAGGGAGGATGGGAGGGGAAGTGAATGGCTGGCTCGTGTCACTGGATGGAGGCGTCGGTGCCCGGCTGCATGTGGATAGCTGCCTACGGTGTATTGCGGTGTCTTGTAATCGAGGAACAGCAGGACGCGCACCGCCATCTCCTGTGGAGGCGACCATACGCGGAGACAGCGGCCGAGGGAGCTCTTTGTTTTCCACCACCTGTGCCTCCTTCTCTGTCCGTGTCCTTTCTTCCTCTCTCCCTTTCTCCTCCTTTGTGCCTCGTACCTGATTTCCTGTACGTTTGAGTTCGATGCCATCGACGTCAGGGCCCTCGTAAGACCTCCTGTCCCACTGTACGCACAACAAACCCATGAGAGGGACACACCTTCTTTGCCTCTGTCCTAAACCACCCCGTGAGCAACTTACTATGATGGTTTCATCTTTCGTAATGATCACTATCTTGCTGACGAAGGACGTCAGCTTCGCGCCGAGGGCTCTCTGACAGTAAATCAAACAACAAAGGTGCTCTGGACGTTGGCTGTTGTCAAGCTACTGCGCTGCCGCTGCGACGGGCTCCGTGTACTACGCCTTGACGTACCTGCGTGTCGTCAACGGTCCCCTGTATGCGAAGTGTCCAGGAAGGAGGGTCCTTGCGACTCCAATCCTGCACCAGGGGGGTGAATGCCCCAGCAACCCGCACACACAGATATTTACGTTCCCCTGTCCTCCATTCATGCATCCATCCAACATACGGACAGCCTCCTCCCTGCCCTCCGTGCCTCGTGGGTGAAGCTGGCAAGTCCCCCATCAGGGTCCCGTGGCTGATTAGTAGCGCTGTTGTAGATGAACACACGGAGCCGGCACACCCCAGGCTGACAGCATCACCACACAAACAAAAGGACGTACGTGCGGCAGTGAATTCATACATACATCTGTGCTCGAGTGCTCACGTCCTGCTTTGGGCGGTCGGCCGTCATATCGAACTGAACCACCCAAATACAGTCAGTCAGGTCGTGGTGCAGTCATACGTTTCACAATGGCGTATCGTGGGCCCATACGTCTTTTCTTGGATCCCAGGTGGGTGCCAGCGCTTCCTCCAAGACCGCGATTCGGCGCACAGTGGCCTCCTCGGCCTGCCGGGCCATCGCCAACAGCTCACCAAGTTCACGCGCACCCTCAGGGTGACACTCGGACAGCTGCCGTACACACAGAACACATGGACACCCTCATGTGGGCAGCTGTGGCAGCACGTTCCTACCGCACGTTGTACACTGTTGGCGTCAACCTTCGTGTGAGAGGTCGATGCGAAAGCCATTCTCCGCGTTATGCTAACGAACTAATACCCATCAATACATCACATCATGTCTCGTAGATCTGTCTTGGTTTGTTCATCAAATTCTCACCAGTCTCCAGTCTCATCAAATTCTGGCTGTGCACCCGTTCTTTTGTTGCAGATCTGCTTTTTTAGCTCGCGCGTGAGAAGGGCTCAATTGTTGAAGCCACAGACGTATTGCGTGTTGTATGCGGAAACTCATCACGAACCGGAGAAAGAACAAATTTCCCGCGAGCTTGGCTTTAGGCTCGCATGCGATCTTCTTGGATGTACCTCATGGGTGGAGATCCGCAGCTGAACAGCGTGGAGAAAGACTTCCGTCAGCCATTGCAGCGTGTATCTGCTTCCCGCCCGGTCCTCCCGCCTTCCTTTCTTTAGATCCTACGGAGCATCTTGTGTACCGAGTCAAGATGTCAGGTTTCGTGGGTGATTTGAGTGAGGAGCAGGAGAGAACGCTGATGGCCTTTAAGAGTTCTCTCGGAGAGCTCCTATCCCACCCCAGGTACGACGACCAATTCCTGCTTCGCTTCCTGCGCGCGAGGAAGTTCGACCTCGACAAATCACTCATCATGATCAAAAACTACATCAAGTGGAGGGAGGAATTCGGAGTCGACAGAATCGTCAACGTAACCAACCAACCTGATGATGGATGGATGTCATCTGTGTTGTGTGGTCAGGAGGGCGAGTTCCCCGAGACCAGGGTCATAAGGAAGTTCTACCCCCACGGCTATCACGGAGTGGCAAAAGACGGTCAGCCTCTCACCCACCAATTGTCACGTGCAGACGGGTCCAGCCGTGCATCTGGCTGGGTGGCTGACTGCGTTTTCTCGTCTGCGTGCTCAGGCCGCCCCATCTACGTCGAACGGATAGGCTCCATCGATGTCGCATCTCTGCTCGAGAACTGCAACTTCGAGCGCCTGCTGGAATACTGGGTGCAAGACTACGAAAAATGTACAACAAGGGTGGGCGGGAGACAAGGAGGGCGCGCGCGAAAGCAGCCGGGATCACAAGGAGTCTGCACAGGGTGTGAAGCACCCCTCTACTTAATGTGAATTCAGTGTTGGAGGTCCGTTTCCCCGCCTGCAGTGTCAAGTCGGGCAAGAGAATCTCACAGTCACTCACCGTCCTCGACCTCTCGGGGCTGGGTACGTACGTCCATCCTCCTTTACGGACGACGAACTATTCCATGTCTGTTCTCTCTGGCCTGTCCGCATGTGTGCATACATGTCTTGTGCAGGTCTTCGCCACTTTGGGACGCAGACTCGCACCATCGTCAAGAAGCTCACGGGTGTCTGTCAAGACTACTACCCAGAATCACTGGGTGAGAGGGGGAGGGGGGCGACAGCCACGCCAGCGAAACGAAAGAGCTTGATAAGGAGCTGTCGATGGAATGGATGGCCGCAGGTAATATGATCATCGTCAACACTCCAACCGTGTTCAACGTCATATGGCAGTTCGTCAAACCACTCCTCGATGAAGTGAGCTAGCACATACTCACACGGATCATACCCCTCTGTTCCTTCACACAAGTGCCCGCGTGCCCTGGCATCTCAGAAGACGGTCAAGAAGATTCAGCTATGCGGTGACATCAAGAGCTTCAAGTGACAATCCACATGAAAGGATGGCTGGAGAAGATATTCACTGGTGTGCTTGTGCGGTGTGCGCGGGCGGGTGTCTGTGATATGTCCATCTCAGGCCCATTCTATCTCAGTTTGCCGATGACGACCAGCTCCCGGACTTCCTTGGTCGGACAGGCTTGTGTGAGACGAGGCAATTGTTATGTGATGCTTGTGCGTCGGTCTCTCCGTCAGGTGGGACAAACAAGTACTCAAATCCTGAAGAATGGATGAGCTGGAACAGAGGTGCGCAGCCAGCTAGCCAGCCAGTCAGGCACTTTCTGCCGACACGAGACAGAGGACAAATGACAGACGACACGCACACGCACACGCACACGAATGCGTTTGAGGCGGGGATTAGTGTGTGGTGACGTGACGGTGTTGTGTGTGTGTGTTCAGGTCCGTGGAATGACCCCAAGATTCTGGAGGACCTTCGTCGGCTTCGTCCGTATGTCAATCCCACACTGGTGAGTGCCTGCCTGCCCAAGCCGTCACCAGTGCTGGCCACAGCAGCTACACCCATCGGGGGGTGACCGACCACAAAATAGAGATCCGTTTTGACCGGGTTTGTTGATCGTGGGTCTAATTCTCCCTGGACTCCTTGAATTTACGCCTCACGACTCGGAATACACCCGTTGCCAACCTGGGATGTAGTTTAGCCTCTCGATGGGGCCGTCTCCTATGTCGTCTGCCTATGGCTGGGCCCACTCCCTTCTCGCCGTCAGAGCATTCTCATCACATTCTCCCATGCATTCTCCGACGCAAATGCGTGGAGGAGAGGGGATTCTGCCGTCCACGAAATTCTGGAGACAGAGCTGATCGAGCACTTCTAGCCCAGCCATCCTCCCGTTCATTCTGTGCATCCACTGCGTCAGTGCGATTTCGGCCTTTCCCTCTCTTTCCTTCCTTCAGAGGGTCTGCACCGACTGAGAGGTCTGCACGGCGATGAAGAGGAGGAAAAAGAAGGGCCGCGGCCGCCTGCGGAGGTCGACAGAGGAGGCGCAACCGACATATGGACATGAACTGCCATGAGGAAGGAACCCAGCAAGCCTTTCCTTCATCCCCATAGATTTTCTTCAATCCCGTGTCTCGGTATGGTATTGTGCTGACCGTTTTGGTTTTTCAGGTCAAACCATTGCACAAACACATTACCCACCCTCCAGGCCGCTGGGTTTTCCACCTGGACAGCTCATGATCGTCGTATGGGACGTGAGCAACATCTGTAGTCCACAGGGGGAGCCGGGCTCTACACCATCGCAGGTCTACCCATATTGGTGGAAGAGCCGTCCTATCAAGGGCAAGTCTGATCCTGCGGCATGGAAATACGGCCTCTTCAAGGGCGACTCGGAGCTGCGAGAGATGGTACCGATGGACTTTCCCTCCTTCTTTGAAGAGCTCTTGAAGCCACACAAAGCAGCTCACAAGCGCCACGTAAACAAAGGAAACACCTGGCGATACCGCACTAATCAGACAATCTCTTCCTTGTCCGCGTGTCGATTCAGGTAGTCGTTGTTTCTGAGAAGGTGCACGATTTCCACTCTATCGACCCCACCTGCATCAAGAAGGAGTTCGACAAACTCTACGAAACGCTCAAGCAGGTGAACTGCAAACCCCCTCACAAACGAAACAGGCGGCTTGGACGTGGCTGCTTGGCATGTGTTGTATGCAGACCCTCGCTTTCCGCGAGGACGTGTCCGTGCTACGGCAGACTACCAACACAGGGGGCGTCATGGCGGTGTGCGACTACCTCAGGCAGCAAGGCTATACTGCAGAGGCAGCCGAGTGCGACCAGGCTGCTGGATTGCAGGGAGACGACAGCATCACACCGCTGCAGGTAAGTCTTAACAAGGCAGAAGGACACATCGGCCCTCATCATCTTGTCTGTTTCTGTTCCCTTTGCAGCAGTGGACTCAGTGTGGACGGACGGAAGGGCCAGGAACCACGAGCGCAACAACTGGAAGAAGTTCTTCGATGTCGTCAAGAAAAGGTGGAGCTTCAAGAGTCCGAAAGGTTGGCAATCTATCAATGCACAATGCAACACACGCACTTGCATCCACTCATGGGCTGATGTTCTTTGTTCCTGCAGAGGCCCTCCAGCTGTACGACGTCTTCTGCTCCTGTTCGAACCGCTATCGTCTTCCTGGGATGAGGATGACCGCCCACTGCTTCCTCACGATGGTCGACAACCAGTACAGCAAGTACAATGGGGGCGAACCGCCATCGATCGCGCAGGTACGAAGCTGTGGCACAACCTGATATGTCTGAGGGATCTATCCACTGTCGTGTCTGTGTTGTGGCAGGTGATGAGCTGGTGCATTGTCCCTCGCGATGGCGCTGGCCGTGATGCATTTGACAAGACGGAGTTGCCCGAGGAGTTCGAGGATCTGAGGTACTACAACCGACACAAGCCCGTGTACCCAGTCTACATAGGCATCGATGGCGAGGTACGAATCAGCCCGCACATACGAATCGCCGCGAGTGTCTTGTGCTGTTTTAGGTCAAGTCAGACACTTCCCGCACTGTTCCTCTCTCCCCTGTCCCTGATGGCCACCCCCAGCCCGACCTGCGTAAGATCCCTCCCCGCGGCAAGTATACCCCCTCCCCCCTCCCCAGGATCCTTCCCCCGCCCCTCTCCCCGCCACTCACACACGTCGTGGCCAGGTGGCAGCAGCCCTCCGCCAGGCAGCGCAGACAGCGCAACAACGGTACGAGGAGTACCAGCAGCGAGAGATCAAGGACGTCGAGAGGGCCATCGAGGAGACCAACAACAAGTCGGTCGACGTCGGCAGCATCGCCCTACCCACGGTCGGACGGGAGGATGGCTTGCATGGCATTCGACGTGTCAGCGTTATTTCCGCAAACATCAACTGTACGACGGAGAGAGGGGGGCACTGCTGGCCGCCCTGGAGTGCAGGAAGCAGCACCTGCAGGGCCATGGCTGTCCCAAATGCATTGACGGGGGCCAGGGTGGGAGGAATTCAAGAAACAGGAGACTCAGAGTCTGAAAGTCAAGTGCATCAACAGTGTCATCGAGGAGGTCGAGGCCGCCATACGAGAGCGACGTGAGGTGTCTCCTCACTTTCGGATTGGAGTTTCCCACAGGCCTCCGTCGGCATGGGTACGAATAGAAACATATCACGTAGATTCGTTGAGATCTGACCCATCAGCAGTATTGTTCTATGCGTGCGTGCAGTTGATGAGCCACACGGAGTCCGTTCACTTCAGGCACGGTCGACTACCCCACCAGCATGGAAGCGCTGCTTGCTGCTCTCCTGCGCAAACGGCAGCACCTGGAGGATGGTGAGTGCGGCGAGTGTGCGCCATCGGTTGACATGCATGACACCGAGGAGGCAGGGCCCCAGCTCACGGGCCTGGATGGGCGGCAGCTGACGGCCGTCGAAGCTGCACTCGATGTGATCGCCAAACACGAACTGCCACCTCTCAAGAAGACAGGGTGCACGCTCGATTCGGCCAACAAGCGCTGTGTGATGAAGCACCAGCGCAACAAGAAAGAGTGCAGAGCGATCTTTCCATGGAGCACCCATGGGAAGCTGGAAGCAATTAAGGAAGCTCTTCTGCTCAAGTACGAGCATCTGTTGGGCACGAAGTGTTGTCAATGAGATTAGTTGCCCACTCCCTATCTGTGTATGGTGTATTTCATATGGTGAGGGAAATTTTCCCCGTTGATACCTTTTTCGATTCTCTACGTAGACCAATATGTAGATCGACATATGTAGGTCTTGTTGACTGATGGATGACCGAGATGGGGTGGACGGGTGGGTGTAGGCCTTTATTCTGTCTGGCTTTTCAAGCTGAGATATATATGTACTAGAGGAGCCTGCCATCAGTGTCTTAGGTCCGTGCATACCCTACGGCACGTGCTTTTTTGTGTGGTGCCTCACGAATATCCAGCCCCTGTCACGATACGTATCTGCAGACAGTGAAGGTTGTTTACTCTCGGCCCCTTTGCTGGAGTGAGGGATGCACGAAGCGCAGACCGGCGCGGAGACACATGCATCACTCAGATGAACTGACCTGTCGTCGGCGCTCCTTCGCTGCCCTTCGCATTATATAGCTCTCCCAAACTTCATCTTGCGTCAAACTATTCCAATCCATTTTTCATTCAACAGTATTTTTCCACACACACACTGGACAAAGCGGGCCACCCACACCACCGCCTAGCTAAGAAAAGCAACCACCGGCACTGTCCGAGTCCGTATCCGCCACCAGTAATGTACCCTGGTACTCACAGATGCCAGGTGTCCTGCGAGACGGCATCAAATTGGACGGCATGACTCCCCGTCCAGCCCGGGTTCTTTCAATGTCGTCATTCCGTTTGGAGTAGTCCCCATCCATGAACTAGTGTCTCCATCTATTTCGTGACAGGCAACGTGCATCCTCTGCTCATCGTCTCCACCAGCCACAAAAGAGCGGAGGTCTCGTGCGGGACACTGCTCGCAGCCGCATCGGGTTCTTCTCCATGCACTTCCCGCACTTGCAACAAGGACGGCGCCGTCTGGAGCATGTTCTTCACTGTCGACAGCGCCACGCGAGTGCCGTAAGTCGGCCTCTCCAACAGATGCGCCGGGCCATCCAGTCGCGCCCCTCTGGTGCTCGCTATCCATACTTCGAGCCCATCGTCATCTCTGCGGCCCCCGACGACAGTATAGCTGGAGAGCCCCACCACATGGAATGGCCGGCAGGCGCTCAGGGGAGGCAGAGAAGAACGCCATAGGGCTATGCGCCTTCATGCAATAAAAACAGGTGATGTATTGTAAATCAGTGACCCGGCCTGGCCTGTCGTCCGTATTCACTCCCCTGATGCATCCCCTACTGCGCACCTTATGCCGCAAATGAGCTTCCGTTGCCTGGAAGACTGCTGTGGAATGCACCCGGCCACGGAGGGCTAGGGCAGAAAAAGACGGGAAGGATAGTAGACGGAACGAGGAGATCAGGCAGGGATTCATATGAAAATGCCGACCTGTACAAGGGATTCGTGACTGGCTGTATCGATCAGCAAAGCGCTGCCAACAAGAAGGGTGGTCCACCTGCGAATCCCACCACACACCCTCGTTTGCGCGCGGCCTTACCAGTCCACGTGTTGAGGCATTGGAATGCAGGTCGTGCACAAGTCCCCGAGGCAGCTACGTAGGCGACGACGACACGGGTCACTAGACAACACCTGCATGGACAACGCAGAGATGCACGGCAGGACGGCATGTCTCCTTTCCCTTGCGCTCACCTGATGGAGCATCTTGGGACTGATATTGGAACTGCGCTCCTGTCTATCTTCCAGTACGCTCAGGACCAGTGAGCGCTCGCACTCACCATCAGCAGGCAAAGGCTCGGCACTGCTAGGCGCTTCGGACTGGCCTGCCTTGTCCCCCGGCGGCGCATCTACTTGCCCTGCATCAGCGACGAAGACGGGGCTAATGCCTCTCGGTAGGCGGCAACAGCGGATGGCAGACGTGTCGATGCAGGAGGGATAGCCGTCAGATGTTTGAACTGCTGCTGGGCCCGTTGAGAGTTGTCTCAGGTGCGCAAACCCGTAGGGCGGGCCCTGGCCGGGCTGTGAGGGCATCGGGATGGGACTGCACATAACGCAGTCCGCACCGGTCGCAAAGCAGTCTAGAGCGCATTGTGTGTCTGGCGGCGTGTGCACAGCGCTCTGCACGGACCTGTCCGTTCCGCCGTGCGATGACGAGGAGTCGCTGTCTCCCTCGATGGAGTGCGGCCTGTCCTTGGATTGCGCCGTCCCGCCCGCTGGCGCTGGGTTGGCCTCCCCGTCTCTCAACGACATGAGCTCACTTGCCTCGCCGTCCCCCTCGTCACCCTCCTCCTGTCCAGGCCTGGAGGGCATCTGGAACAACACCAAGTTGTGCCCTGCTTCCCCTCGCCAGCTTCTCGGTGTAGTCGGATACGATGGGATGCTGCTGTCATCCTCTGGCACCGGCTCACGGGTAGGCACAGGGATGCTGCTGGTCAACGATGGCATGCCGCGATGATACACCCGACTGGGAGCCCCGGATGGCAGAGGCACGGATGCGAACGATTCAGGGATCATACGAGTCTTGCCACATTCCTCTTGGCAGGCTGCACCATCGTCTGCACACACTCAGCGATGTGAAATGGTGAAGCCCACGTGATACGATCTCTATCCTGACCTTGGGCTCCTAATGATGCATCTTTTGTCCTTTTTGGGCACCGAGTTGAAGGTCCATAGAGACGAAGACATGTCAACGACGTGAGGCTCTACGGTGAGGAAGACAGCAATCACGGACACGCACCGACGTGGCTCATCCACTACGCCCTCACTTTCGGACACGATGCATCGTCTGGCTCCTGATCGTAGCCTCCGTGCGCTGTAGGGACACGGACGGGGCATTGGCTCGATTGAGAAGCGTCCTTGCGCTCAAGGGCTGAACCGAATCCTAAAGGCAGAGGAGCCCGCACCGGTACATGAATGTCAAAGAGGGAATCCACCATGACCCTTACGGGGCACGCCAACGGTGTCTGCGTGAGCGAGAAGCAGTAACTGGTCGATGGTGTCCTGGGATTTCCTGCAAAGGACACGCAATGTGCTGCAGTCAGATATGTCCGCAGATGGATCTGGCCGGGCAACCATTGCGAACCACTTGGGTGTGGCTGCGAGCGTTCTTCCTTTCCACGATAACGCCGCACAGAGTTGCGGCTCCTGGCCCAGGAGTGAAGGGATATACAGAATGCCGTACCATGGCGGCAGTTTGATTGCCTACATACCCGTTTATCTGCACCGCCATCGAGCTCGTGCAGCCCCTTCTGGACCTCCTGCAGCAGCTCCCAGGCTGATGCAGAGAAGCCTGACAAAATGCCTAACTCTGTGGGTGACGGACATTCTCCGGGCGGACGTACCGACGTATTCGGCGCACTGAAGCGAAGGCCCGACGTGTATGGGAGCAGGTGACAGACCTGGGTCTACACCCTCAGAAAGTAGGCAGCGCAACAAAGGTCCCAACGTCTGATAGATGTCGGGGGTGAAAACTCCATTCAGTTGCGTACGATTGCCGGGCTGACCTGCAGCGCCTTTTTAGCCCCAGCCATCGGTGTGGGTGGACACGCTCCTAGAAGCAAGACAACGGCCCGGTGGAGACACGAGAGCCACCCCCTGAGCCGCTCCATCACCAGTGAGGGAATGCTCTCAGAAACAAGGCCGCCACTGTGGACGACTGCCAGGACGAGGAACGCGTCGTCGCGTCGGTCAAGATCTGAGGGAGGCCACACGTGTGAAGACCGGTTCAACATTGAGACGGCCACGGCATACAATTGTACCGAATCTTTTGTATGCCACGACACTGCTGTTGTCCGTGACGAATAATGCCGGAGAACAGCTATGGTACTGGCTCGCTTGGTGGAGGGCATGAACAATGCCCGACGTGGCAAAATTTCTGAGCGGGAGAGAAAAGAGCAGGTTGCCGCACGAATCCGTGATTTGAATCATGGGCTTCAGATCAATCCCGGCGCCTCTCTGGGGTGTTGGTTATATTGTGTTTAACGAGACTCGCCGATCCTGTGAGCATGCAGAGCATGCAGAGCACGGCCTGTCTACCTATACTAGTTTAGTGCGTGAGACAACAGGATCCCTCCGGGGTTACAGACACGAGTCTCGTTAAACACACTAACCAACCAACCAACCTATACACCCATCATTTTTACGACTTGACGAGAGGTGCCTCCCGTGCTCCTTTTGGGGGGCTGATGGATCCTGTCCACGCGACATGCATAGAAAGCATGCACACGGCCTGTCTTTTGGGAGAATATATATATGTATATAGCGCCGACAGCCCATAATTCGCTTTCTTCGCAAACGGACTTTTTTTTCACGTGAATCGGACTTTTGTGCGACGTGATCGAACTCATGAATGAATGGCTCGAACAGGTACATGCATTCACGGAACACATGAAGGAGCCAGTCAAAAATCCATCATGTCAGTCATCGTCCACACAGTCATCCCACAGTCCGTCTGCAACCCTGCGCGGGCAGAGCGTTCTCTGCACCTCAAATGGGCAATAAAAGGTTGGTGTTGCGACATTAGTCGCTGTCCAGCCTAATGCACCGCTCGCACAGACGGATGCGGTTATCCTTTTTCGCCTTTTTCCACTTCTTTTGTCCCCCCGCTGCATCTCGCGCGCCTTGCTCACGGTCGAGGCCACATATGATGTGCCCAGGGGGTTGATTGAGTCTCACGGCACATGGCTGTGGAGGTCATTCCTGAGCGCATTCAGCCCTTGGAGGTGCTTTTGGAGGGGACCAGGGAGGAGACGGGTGGGTCGGGGATCGTCTGTTCAGGGCGATAGGAGCTGCGGAGGGGATCAAGTATGCGGGGCGGTTGCTGGGCTCTGTGCGCACTACACCCAGAGCAGGCGTGTGACAACTCAGTGATCTAGTCAATGACCATCTGATGGTTGACAAATCTTCTTTCTACCATGTGGGGTACGTGTGATGAACAGACGGCTGCATGGCTATGGCGGGGAGTTTGTTATCTGGGGTCGTGAGCTCCTGACACGACAGTCTACGAGCTCACGAGGGACGGCGGCTTCAAACCTTTGGATGAGTCGCGTCTGAAGGATAAGTGGGGGCGAATCGTTGCAGCTGGCTACTTCTCCTAAGGTAGAGTGGCGCAACAGAATAAATGTGAATAAGTGTCTAGAAATCCATCATCGCAGACCTCTCGCCTTCGCAGATTCAACAACAGGACGAGGATGTCTTCAGCCGTCCACGGTCCATCACATAAAATAAGCTACGCTTTCCGTTTCTATCTGCGGAAAAACTCACCATCTTCATCCAAAACACACACACACAATGGTAGGGAGCGAGGGAGGCACAAGGAAGCGGAAGGAGTCGCAAGGGGAGTGGGGCTATGCTTTCTGTTGCCTCTCAGGTTTCACTTTCGTTGAGAGAGACAGTAGGTTCACTCATTAGATTGGAGACCATTAGTCATTCCTTAGTCATTCCCGCCCTTTAGGTCAAACTCGTTACTCATGTATACGTTGCACGAACACACACGTATTAACCAGTTCCAAAAAAGTTCATCGCCTGCTCTCACAGTCTCAGACTCTCTATGCTCGTTTCCTTCATTTCTCCCCCTCCCTCTCCTTGGTCTCTCCACACCATCTCGTCCCCCCTAGCCGGCAGTCTGTATGTCTGCCACAGCTGACGCACCACCTCCGTCTTGTTCGGAACCTCGGGAGCGCTCGATGTTCTCAACGAAGGCATTTCTGTAGGCGAGTGCCTCCCAAAAGGTGCGTGAGATGCACGCGACACTCGCACCTGCTTTTGTCCCGATGGGAAACAGCTACACTCAACACAGGCAACCCAACCACAGAGAAAGTCATCCAGTCAGTCATCCTTTTCTCCTCCCCGTGCCCTTACCTCTCACGCACTACCTGCTAATCTGCCAGGACACGATCAGTTGCACTCCAGTGCGGGAAGTTTTTGTCCAGTCTCAACAGAACTCAGGAGAGACGAAGCCAGTGATCTTCTGCAACGCGTCCCGGCTGTCGTCCTATGTAGAGCAGACAAACACGAGAAAACCCCTCAAAGGCTGGCACTGTCTATCTCTGTCGGTGTGTGTGTGTGTGTTCCTCTTTACTTACGTTGAGAGCAATTGACAATACGAGCCTATCGGAGCCTGACACGAACAAGACGCTACTCGTTCGCATTGTGCCATTGCTCGGGTCGCCCTATGGCTCCTGCCGCCGCCTTGCTCAGCGAAGAGCTTTGCAAGAGTGCGTGCGTCAAGAAGATGCGTCTTGGACCTGATAGAGAACCGATCATAGACTGTAGGGCGACGAATGTTCCCGCCTAACATCTGATTGTTCTCGGGGTCATGTGGACGACTTCGATCTGCAGGAAACAGGGCCCTCTGGACTCGATACACACAGCTCCATACAAGCTCTTGCGCTCTGCGCCCTCCCCTGTGTGCATACCAGGGATCCCATCCTCCCTGTAATCAGCAGCAACGCTGAGCTTCCGAACAGAATGTGAATTATCACGCACGGTCCAGATTCAAGCTTAATTATCCTTTGACCGACTGAAGGTTTCATCCGGCAGCATTCATCGATTCGCGAGCCGATACAGGGCTTGCCAGTTCGCGTGTGTTTACGCACTTTTCCGTAAGATGGAGGACAACATGCTTCTCCAGATCATCGACGAATCAGGGCGATTCGTGTAAGCCGACAACAGAACATCGAGGTGCAAGACACAATGATGCTGTGTCCATTGTCAGTGGTGAGGTTGAAAAGTGGCTGGAGGAGAAGCATCTTAGCAGGTGCGGCTTCGACTACTCCGTTGTCACAGTGCTGGGATGCCAGTCGAGCGGGAAAAGTAGGAGCGAAGAGGCAGATCTGTGCACCCAAGCATGAGAGTAGTGTTTTTCCTGTTCGTTCTCTGCCTGGTGGTGCTGCGTTCTTGTCACCAGGCACCCTGTTGAATCATTTGTTCGGCACGAGGTTCCAGGTGATGAATTCCCAGCTGGGGCGTAGCCAGACCACGAAGGGTCTGTGGCTGGGTCGGGATTTGGTCGAGGGACAAGGCACGGCCACGATCATCGTCGATGTGGAAGGCACCGACAGCAGAGAAAGGGGCGAAGACAGACATGTAAGGACTCACCAATGCAACCCCACGGCCGAGCCGAGTCTGCCTGTTGTTCCTGACTGCTGATTCATATTCAGACTTTCGAGCATCGCGCGGCCCTCTTCTCTCTCGCAGTGGCCGACCTGGTGGTCATCAACATGTGGATGCACGTACGCAACCACGTAGCCTGAATTCAGGTTGTGCTGTCGCGCATGGATATCCATGTAGGACATCGGCCGCGCGACAGCGTCAAACTACGAGCTGCTGGAGAAGGTGCTGGCGGTCAATCTGGAGCTGTTCCAACAATCAGATGAGTGAGCAGAAAGAAATCCGGGCGTGTGCGAGCAGACAGGGCTGTATCATGTGTCGTCATTTGTTGGCTGTGGGCCTTGGCAAACATGTCAGGTCCAAAAGGACTGTCATGTTGTTTGTGATTCGAGACCACAGCGAAATGCAAACACCACTGGGTGACGGACTAAATGGGGATGAGCCACGTGAACTCCAGTCCATGACTTAGCTCTGTTGCTTGATGCCTCTTCCTGTCAGCTACTCTCGAGACAATGCTTGAAGATGACATACGGAAGATATGGACAAAGATCAAAAAGGTACACGTTCTGGCTGGCGCGGACCTGCACCCCTCCTCCTCTCTTTGCCGTCTATGTCTGTTGATTCAGCCAAAGTGTTTCGAAGACACAGGGGCAGACGACTTCTTCGAATTCCACACAAGTGGGGATTGCTGGACTGGCCACTGTATTCTTCTGTTTGATTCTGCTTGCATCGCTTCTGTTTGCATCCGGTGTGTCCATGTTGTTCAGTTGGTTTGCCTTCGTTTTTCGCGTCGCTGGAGGATTTCCGGAAGGGTGTACAAGACCTGAGGCGGAAGTAAACCATCAAACCAATCCTATGCTGCGCTGTCGCATGTATATGTGTGTTGGCATTGCTTCTCTCGCCCTATGTATTTCAGGTGGTTGACAAGTCTTCGCCCCGCGCAGTACTCTCGCCGCGTGCCCGCAGACGGCTTCGCGCACTACTGCAAAAGCGTGTGGGTACGACAATGAACGGAACTGGCCACGAAAGGAATCAATCGATGGTGCTTGTTGGTATTTTTCGCCCTGTCTGACCAGGACACCATTGTGCACGAGTCTCAGCTCAACATTCCATCACAGAAGGAGATGCTCGCCACATACAGGTAAGGAGAGCGTCCCTCGCTCGCAGTGGTGCATGAGGCATGTCGTGTCCCTCCCTCCCTCACTCGCTCTATGTCCATCTATTGTTCAGGTGTGAAGAGATCAAGAGCGCACTGTTGGTCGAGACTCAGCCGAAGATAACCGCCAAAGTGAATCAGGTGATCGGGACGCAGCGGGCCTACCTGTGATCGCTTGCTGTGTGCGAGAAGGCATCCCCATGCTTTGTCGTGTGTAGGCGCATCATGGACCCGTGCCCGACCTTCAGGGCTGGGGCAATAACCTCATCCAACAAGTAGTGGGTATGCAGGGAATTGAATGCACGGCGTGCATGACTGGCGCCAAAAAGTAGGTTCCTGCGTTCCCCTTTGTCTCAGCCGCCTACGAGGAGCCTGCCTCGCGCTACCAGGTCTCCTCAAATGAGATTCGCGCTCATATGCCTGTGTCTGTATACTGGCGTCTTTGTGTACAGGAGACCGTTTACTTGAAGAAACGCTCTGAACTTATCAACGCGTAAGCAGTAGGGAACCAAGACCCACCCGGCCGCTTAGAATGAATTGCACATGTGGGTATACTTGTGTATGTATGCGTGTATGCCTACGCAGTTTGTGCGACGAGCTGCAGCAGGTCGTCGAAGCGCATCTCATGCACATCAAGACATCCATCGCCAAGGACTTCTCCAAACAGCTCGAGTGAGCACGGAGCCGGGGACCGTCGCGCCGCCAGCCGTGACGTGCTGGCATGTCTGTGCTAACGTCGTGTTGTCTGCAGCGCGCGTTTCGCAGCCATCGGTTCGCGCGCCAAGCTGGTACGGTACAACAACATGCCAAAGCTCACTTGACTAAGACGCATACACTGCTGAGTTGCTGTCTGAGTCACACAGAGCGAGGAATGGGTCAACTTCGCCGACACATGGTAAGACCCCACGGCATGGATGGATTGTATCTTCACGAGAGCGCGAGAGTGTTATGTTTTGTCCGGTTGTGTGCTGCAGTGGCACTGCTGAGCAGGATTCTCTGCGTCAGCTGCGAGAGGCAGGTTTGGCGTGCTCCGTCGCGGTACCTGGCGATGGGCCACGGACGTTTGACGTATCCCACACGCTGCAGTCACTCACAGGTCCGTGAGGCACTGTCTCTCGAGGATGACGCGAGAGCCCTTGGTCTGCGGTCTTGTCAGATGCGCTGGAGAATTCGATCAATCGGGTTCGCCAAGCACAGTTGGCTGCCTTCAAGGAAGCATTACAGGCCAGAATGAAACCGCACCGATACCGTCTATAAGCCGTAGCTCATGTGTCTGTGGTCCGTTTCCGCTTCAGGGTCCGATATCGGAGGAGTTGACACAGATTGACATTCTGGTGAGCCAGACGACCGTGGCCAAGGAAGTCTTCTGGACGATGGCAACAGACGCAATTTGCAAGGCGAAAGAAGTTGCCGTACAGCAAATGAGCGAGTCGTGGAAAGGTACGAGGGCACATGCATGCAGGCGCGGCATCAACTGCCCATCCGTGTGCAATGTGTGTGTGAATAGGATTGACTCGTCGTGTCGTGGTTAACATCGACCACGTGGAGGTGTCGGGCGGTTCAAGCAGCACAAGCGCACCACCCAGCGGCGCAGCTGCATCGGAGGGCCTGGGTGAGGGGCTGGAGGCCCTGGTGGGACGGGAGTGCGTCAAGGAGGCACGGACCAAGCTGGAGCACTTCGTCAAACACTCCCTCGATCACTCCATCATACAGAAGTTCCAAGCCGAGTTCGAAATCAATGAAGATGGCACGCCCAGACACGTACTCACGCAGACACAGGAGGTCGCTTTTCCTGGGACAGACCTGTCTGTTTGTGTGTCAGTGGCCCGACATATCTCAGGAGCGGATCAGTCAGTACTTCCTCAAGGCCAAGGAAAAGGCCATGGGTAAGGCCGGCGTGCCTCCGCGGCAATGGGCTGCATGCATTGCAGACCTCTCCAATGAACCTTTGTTGTCGTCCCGGATGTAATTTGACCATACAGAGTCCCTGGGCACCTTTATCACCTTCGATGTGAGTCTGGACAAGGTCATCCCGGGATACTCCGACCCGACTGGAGAAGTGCAGCGGTGTACGCACTCGCGAACGAATGTTGGCTGGTTGTGGACTATGCTGCTGTGTGCTCTGCAGGGGTTGAGACTCCTCTCCTTACCGACACGATGAAGGCTGCTGTACAAACACGGGTAGTAACTCAATACATCAGCTGCGCAAACCGCTTTTCTGGCTGATGGGTGTCGGACCGATCAGATCGAACGCACGATGGTCAAGACCTGTCAAAACGCACAAATCATGCGCGCATCTGGCGGGTAACAAGTGCGAACACGTACAAGGAAACATCATGTATGCGAATGATCCGCTTCTCTCTCCTTTTCTCTGTGCAGTTCCAAGAATTCCCTTGCTAATGTGCCGTGGTGGGTATGGCTTCTCCTCCTGCTTGTCGGTCAGTCCAGGATTGTGATGCGATGCGAGCAAGACGACCAGCCAGCGATGTGCATGGCCTCTCGTTTCATTTTTGGCTTCTCAGGTTGGGACGAGCTGATGTCGTGTCGCGTGTTCATCATTTATGTGGTGCTGGGGCTTGCCGTGGCGCTTCTGGTCGCATACCAAACGGGGCACCAGCGGTAAGCGTCAAGGAGCGGTGGTTACCGGGGTCCGCTCCGGGATGCATTGCATGTCGTGGTTGTGTCGGCTGGCCGGGTGGCTCAGTGCTGTGAACCAGTTCGCATCTAAGGCCATGGGATTCGCTTACGATGCCTTTCTGCTGCCCAACCTGCCGCTCATCAACTCACTACTGATGGGATCCGTGGGGGGCGGGGGAGGCCAGGGCGCAACCACAGCGTCGCCTGCAGATGACCACTCGCGGAACATACCAACGTAAATTCGAGTGCATCGTGGCGACGTCATTGGGTACTTTGCTGCCTTTTTCTGTGTGCAGAGAAGCAAGCAACAAGAAGACCGAGTGAGTGAGGCAACTCGACGGATTGACTGCATTTGTACTCTAACGTTTGTCATTATTTTGTCAGTATGTATTCTCGATTACACAACAATCAATATACATGGGCACATCCAACCATCCATCCACACACACCGACACACCGAACACACAACAAACTGAGCGGCCGAGCTGATCCCCCTCCTTTTCCGAATTCATTCATCAAACGTGCATGCATACGCGCATTCATGTACTGTATGCAGCACTCAGCCAGGCAGCCCTACATACCCATTTAGATCTCCCTGCGTCCCTCCGTCAACCTACATGCATCTAGACATTGCAGGGATGGTCAGTTAGTCCCTCTCGAGCCCGCTGCGTGACGAGCTGTCATTCGCCAACCGACGCACCTGAAAGTCCTCTTGATCTGAGATGCAGAAAAGATTTGACAAGAAACACGTGCGATATGTTTCGAGACGCCCCTCGTAGTTTTCTGCTGACGAAACGGAATCGAAGGATGCTGACGAGCATCAGCGCTGCACTCGAGGTGATCGAAAACGGCGACATGCCATCGTCAAAGGAGAAAAGGGGCGGTCACACACGCCAAAAGCTCGCCAAACTAGCACTTCCTTCGGTTCCCTTCGGCTGGGGGCTCGCATGCGGCCATGGGGGCTTTGCATGCATTTCGTTTCGCGAACGCGAGCGAGTCAGGGGAAATTTTATGAAAGCGCGTGAACGAGAGCAAACAAAAAGGAGATAGGGAGCGATTTCCCACTTGTCCAGTTTGTCTGGCCGGTTAGCAGGCGGCGGAGCGCGCAGGGCTCGGTCGCTGGCCACGTCGCGGCGGTGCAGGCAAGCGTCTGTTCCAGAGGAGAATCTCAAAGGACATGTTGAATCACTCGTGAAATGGTCTTAGTAAAGGTTCAACATGCCCTGGTGGAGAGAGAGAGAGAGAGAGAGACAACCCATGTGTGCAGAGGGTGTGTGGAATGCACACACACACACACACACACACACACACAGAGAGAGAGAGACAACCGATGAGTGCAGAAGGTGATCATGACCATCGGGACCAGTAGACGGGTCGTTTTACCGCGAGCTATGCTAGCTTTTTCAGAAAACCCGTGGAAAAAAAATCCGCACCCTTTTCAGCACACCAGCAGCACACAGCAGATCCCCCCACCTCAGGGGCGTCCAGGACGAGCGAAAAAACGGTGAAAACAGCACCAGAAGCGGGGAACACACCAGGACAAACAGAGAGGGAACCAAAGGGACACTGCAGAAGGCACGCAGGAGACCACACACCAGCGAACGAAACCCATAGAGCACGCTTGGCGCAAGAAAGGCAAAAGAAACGACGAAAAACGCACGCAGAAAGACGCTGCCACACGTCTGCCCCTCAAAGCGTACAAAAAAGGTTGCTTTGAGCACCCAATGCCGTCTCAGTAGCCAAACAAACAGTTATTGCAGGCGGAGGCAGAAAGCAACGGTGAGAAAGGGCACTACGAAGCCGTCTCTCCGACTTCTCCCGCCCTCTCCATAGTGAGCTGGCGTCTCTCCACTGCATTCTTCATATCGTTGCAGCTCTCTCCGCTCTTTTGTCGTCTCTCCACAACATCGTCTCTCCACTACACATACAACGCTAGTGCACACAGATACACACACCATGCCTTGGCTCGGCTCGGCCCTTCGGGCCTCGCCTTCGCATCAACTACACACACACACAAATAGCGAGAGAGAGAGAGAGAGAGAGAGGAGTGGGTGGGAGGTTGCATGTGATGCACAGATACACAGAGAACTCACATAGAGAACTCACACAGACGAGAGAAGCCACGCTTAGGCTCGGCCCTTCGGGCCTCGCCTTCGTACGAAAGAGAGAGACAACCGGTGTGTGCAGGGGGCGGGTGGGAGGTTGCATGTGATGCACAGAGACACACACAGAGAACACACACAGAGAACTCACACGGACCAAAGAAGCCAGCTCAGGCTCGGCCCTTCGGGCCTCGCCTTTGCAAGAACGAATGGCACAGACACACACAGACAACACACACACAGACAACACACACACAGACAACACACACACAGACAACACACACAGAGAACACACACACAGAGAACACACACACATCATGCATTGGCTCCCATCTGCCCTGGTGTGTGAGGTGTGTGAGGCCAAAAATCGATGAAACCAATTGTGGTGTCCACCCGGGTCCCCCAATCCTCGTCCAACGGGAGCGAAGACGTAGGCGGAGGCCCATGAGGCGCCTGCCAACAGTGACCACACAGAATCTCAGTCTGCAACACGCACTTCTTCGTGCAAACCCGATCGGGTGGGAGCCGAGGAAAAGAAGCGCGATCGGGCTTGCAAGAAGAATTCCTCCCTCCCTCCGCAAGCAGCGGAGCGCCAACGCTCTCCCTGCGTCACATCCCTTCTCCTCCTTCTTCCTTCTTCATTCTCTACTGTGACGCTTCGGGGGGCCGGGGGGCAAGGTCCCCGTGAGGTTAACGAACGAAGGAACGAACGCTCTACTCTCTCTACCTGCGTACGTACCTCCTTTTCTGCGTGATTTCATTATTGAGTCAGGCCAAGACTGGCTTCATCGCCTCATCCAGCCCTTGTCCACCTTTCCATGCTACTTCTCACTACCTAGACCCAAGCGTCGTGTGCTGTTCGCTTTTCGGACCGGTACATATCCTTGTGCAGTTACTGATGGGCGTATCGGTGGCCCTCCACGACTGCTACGCTCTTGCCCGTATTGCACCGTTTTTCATTTCTTATCTCACATGTGGGTGCCACCTGTTGAGGATGAGCTGCACATTCTTTTCTACTGTCCGCTCTATAGCTCTGCACGAGGGGAAGTATTCCGTGTTGTTCGCATGTATGGCCTTGCGGCGCGTGATGGCAAGGTTTACTTTCGATGGGATCTCAATTATTGTGATCCTCTTGTGTTTGCCTTTTCTCTGCTCACCTCTCGCTCACTGCGTGTGCATGAAGCGGTAGCCAGTTTTCTACTGTCTGCGAAGGCCTTGCGTAAGCGGTGGGTTGCGTTGCATCCGGTGCTTCCTTCTCCTGACTTGTGACTTTCTATGGACTCACACAGACCCTTTCTTGCGTACCCCTTCGGGGGGCCGGGGTTGACGAACGAACGAAGGAACGCTCGGCGATCGTAGGGCGAGCCTGCAGGGCGAGCCTGGGCGAGCCTCGTCCAGGGTTTCGCTAGGGTTTGTTACGGTTTTTTATATTAGCGACCAACAAGGTGGCGACTCCTTTTTGGCTTCGATATGATGCATTGCAATGAAGTGTATTGCAATCATTGCACTCGTCCACCTCCCCCTGTCCTTCCTTCTCCTGGGAATCATCACTCATAGCCCCTTACACGTCCATATCAACGGGCATGGCCTGGCACGGAACAACGCGCTGCCCTAAGGCTTCTGGACGACGCTTTAGCATGACCTGCGTATACATAGACACATGATATATACTCATGTACTGCGCAATGATACTGAGTGGGCCCCCTGCACCATAACTTGCGAAAGGATCAGCTCCAATCGCCACCGACATTGGACTGGCTACTACTGTTTGTCTCTGGGGGTAGCTGTTGACACCCGTTTGGCCAGCAACGAGGCAATCTCTATGGATGCGCCAGGCGCCAGCCGCTGCCTGGCTGCCGGACTCGCTGTCTCGGTGGGTGATATGCACGTTGACAACAGGGCAGGGTTCGTCGCTTCCCTGTCTGACAAAGAAGCCGGGTAGGCATTAGCCAGCATGAGGTCGACCAGCGCTCGAATCTGAAGAACGGAATGCAGATCATCGTGAACCGCGCGCTTAACGGTGATACCTCTTTGATAGCGTCCTTCCTTCCCGATTGACGTTGATGTCGACGACGTTGTTGACGAAGCGCGGCCACCCTGAACAGTGCAAGGAAGCAAACACAAATTGAATGTACCTTTTTTTAGTGTCTTGTCTTTTCTCCACAGGCCCTCGAACCTCGGAGAAGTCGTGGAGGGTGGCCTGGGTAGAGGACGCGAGGCAACAACTGTCGAGCCTCGCCTCGCCGCAGAGGAGGATAACACTCTGTCCGACATTGCTGGCGGGGGCTCATGCAGCTGCTCTGACGGCGCCTCCAGGACAGTCCCAGCAGCGGGTCTCTCCTTGGTGTCTTGCGCAGTGGTGTTGGTGGTGTCTTGGTCATCCCCGCTAGGGATGGATCCGCTGTCCATGGCATCACTCCACTCTTCACTATCGGACGCCTCCGGCTCATCCTCATCAGGCCCCAATGCCGCCATCATCGGTGTCTCGCCCCCTGCCGCCGGGGCAGCCACGGGTAAGCGTGGGAATCCAGCAACCTCCTTGGTGCCTTTGGCAGGCTCCTGAGGCCCCTCCGCACGCCGACGAGTCGTCGACAGGATGTCGTTGTAACTGCCGGGCACATTGACGGCACAGACAGTAAGTAGCAAGAGGGAGGGTGACACCCTGCATCTTGCTTTGGTTGCTCACGTGAGTGCTTCATTGCTGAGGATTCTCATAGACCAATCGGCCCGTTTTCGGACGTCTTCCCGCTTGGCTTGTTGCAGCTTGATGAGTGCCTCGATGGCCCCCGCCTCTGCTAGGGCCACCTCTAGCTCAGGGTGGGCAGCCAACACCCCGATCGCCCATGCTACTTCAACCTGCAGGCAGCCACACAACACACAGATACATACAGACAGACAGACAGGCGAAGGGACGGAGCTGCCCGAGGGGTGTGTGTGCGTGTAAGGCTTGGCCAGCGCACCTGAACAGTAGTGTCGCTGCTCTCAGCCAGCTCCATGAGCACTGCGAGGGCCCCATCGTCAATGAGCGCCCTCTGTGATGTCTCGTCCCCACCCATCAGCCGTATTGCCTTGGCCAGTCCACGCTGCTCGTCGATCGTCCACACGGAAGCCAAAGCGCCCTCCCCCCTCTCTCTTTCACCCCCTGCAGTCACTGCCGGCGACTGGAACAGGGCGGTGGTGGACGAGGACCACAATGCCTGCCAGTCCTGTCTCAGCTGTGCGTGGTCCATCAGACGCACCAGTGCCTTGAGTGCCGCCTCCCGCACCCTCACACGTGCGTCGCTGAGGGCTGATACTACCCTCTCACCCCCCCCGTGCGCCAAGAAGGGTGCAGCCAGCTCGTGCGTCCGACACAGCTCAGCCAGCCCCTCAAATGCACCCACCTGCACATTCAGTGACCGGGGAGCAGGCTTGTGTGTGGCTGCAGCACTCCAGTCAGCAGACAGGTCACCTGAACGTCTTCTAGGTCGACGATCTCCTTGATGTCTTTGTCGCGCCTGTTGCCACTCTTGTCATGCGGAGGGTGCACGTCATAGGCGATCTCCCCACCCGCACACAGGGTTATTGCCGATAGCAGGTCCGACATGCGGACCACCAGGACTGGAATGGCCTCTCCCACGCCCACTCGTCCACTGTCCATGAGACTTAGCAGTAGCGTTTGGCCTTGGGGCTGCTGCCGGGAGTGAGAGTGCTGCTCTCTCCTGGTGACTGCAGCGGCTCTGAAGGTTTCCGACTTGGCCAGCCTGGCCAGCGCTGCGCATGCTTGTGCTACGACAGCCCATTCGTCTGTCATCCGTCCCGGCTCGATGGCTGCACTCGGGGACGAGTCGACCGATGGGGGGCAGACGGCTGCCTCAAAGCCCTCCATCAAACCGCACACTAACATTTTCTCAATGAGTGGAGTCTCTGATTGATGGCGAAGGAGTAAACATCATACGACCTCTCGAACAAGGGACATGTGTGCTGTCTGTGTGGTGCGGTGCTGACGCACCTGGGGGCATGTACGCGAGGGCCCATAGGGCTTGGCTTCTGACTTTGGGGTTGCTGGCCTCCTGGAGTGCCAGGAGTTGTGAGAGGCTTCTCCTGTCAAAGAAGACCTCCACGGCTTCGCCCCGGACGACCAGTGAAGCCACCACCCACGCCGCATGACCTTGCACACTGGCCGGACCCTAATGGATGTGTTGTTCATGCATTGGCGACCATGGCAGTGGCTGTTGCGTACTTGTTTGGCGATGTTGCACAGGGTGTCCAGGACGTTCTGCCGCACAACTTGCTTCTTGACATTCTCATCCACACCTACCACGTACAGGGCCTTGATGCCGCCCTCCTGCACACAACGGCACACGGCTGAGAAATGCAATCATGTCCATCAATAATGCGCTCGCTGACTTGTGCTGGTGGCGGTCCGTAAGATATGATGTTGAATATGGCACTGATGGCAGAGGAATCGTAACGCAGGAACCTGCAAACCGACAACAGACCGACACAGGAGTCTGTCCAGTGTACTCTGTCTGATGTGCTTCGAGCCCCTGGCTCACGCCGAGCTTTCCTCGTTGACGGTGCACAACTGCAGCAGTTGTGCCACAGCAACGTATACAGCTTCGATGTCCTGCACACATCACACAGAATCATCCACCTGTAGATCACCACATTTGGTTCAGTTGCTATCCGGCCATACTCTATGCACCGGCGTACCTGTCTCTCGCTGCTGGATGTCTGCGTCTCATGCGGCCGATCACTGAGCGACACGTCGGCGATTGGCTGGTGTGCGGTGTTGACATAGCGTGTGTGGAGTCTGTGGAAGTGGCTGAGCAGGGACGTCAGTCTGGAGGGCGCAATGAGCCTCGAGCGCAGGTCATTGCTCCGGCACAGGCACGTCAGCAGCTGCAAGTAACAGCTGCAATACACAGCATCAAGGGGCGGGGTTCCACGGAGATAAGCAATAGGCACTGAGATGTGCCCACCTCAGCAGTTCAGGAGGGGGGCTGCACAGATCGGCAGCGAGGGGGGACAGGATGTCCAACAAACCAACACTGGACACAATGAACGCACCGACATACAAAGCAAATGCATAACATGCGAAGCTCCATCCATTCATCATCCATTCGGCTTCCCTCTCCCCCCCTCCCTGTTTTGCCTGATGATCTGGTGCCTGGGACCGTTGTGCCCCTCGCCATTGCAGGAGGCCAGGGCGGCCAGCACTTTGAGAGTCTGCAGCAGCACATGGTACCTCGAACCATTCACGTCACCGCCCGCCACCCGCAGGGACGGGCCACCGTCGGACATGCTCCCCGGTCCACTGTCCATGTCCATCGGCGGCCCCTGTGTAGCCAGCCGCTGCGTGGCGCTTCGCTTGGCTCGCCACTGGCTGCCGGGTGCATGCTTCGGGAGCGCAAACACGACGACGGCAGGAGGGCTGCTCGCCTCGGCCCCACCGGCATGTGTGCCGTCTCTCAAGCCATGTCCTTTAGCCCCGCTGTCCCTGACGGCCAGCCGATCCCCAGCCACCGACCGGTCGACGCTCGTGGGGATCTGCGTGAGACACATGTGGCACACATCGGCCAGCAGCTGTAGCAAGTCCCCCAGACACGAACGGATCTTCTCAAACACACTGCACCGTGCACAGAGAGAGTCAAGGGAAGAGCTTTGTCAACTCGTATGACAGCTGTCGCGTACGTTGGTCTGCGACTGATGGTGAGTGTGGCCATGGCGGTGCAGACACACTGCAGCATGGCCATGTTGGGGGGCGGCTTGAGACCCATCTGCACAATGTCCAGCAGCAAACGGAACCGACATGGGCTCAACAACAGCCTGCATATCAGCCACAAACAGCCATAACTTCGATTCGATGGTACAACGTACATGTATGTCTCTTTGTGGCGGACGCACTCTTGCACTTGAGGCAAGATGGCACTCTTCTCTATGAGGCGGGACAGATCGAATGCGAGGGGCGCCAGGTCCTAACACACGACACAGACGCATGCTGAAGCGACCCCCTTACTGAGTGGCTGACTGACTCACTGACCTGTCCCTTGGTGGTCATGTCTATGATAGCGGTGAGAGTGGGAATGTATTGGTTGACCCTGGCGGTGTTGTGGGGGTGGCACATGACGCGGCAGAACACCGACCACACAGGCGTGTTGGTCAGCAGCCTCCCGGGTGTGGCGCACTCGAGCAGCTGCTCCATACATGACGGCTGGCCGAAATACCGACACGCGACATCACTCGCGAGAACTGAATTAGAACGAGACAGACACATGAACAGAAAGGGGGTCGAGTGTACGCTTGATGGGCGTGCATCGCGTCTTGTTGTTACCGTCGTGTAGGACTCTAAATGATTCTTGTCTGAGTTGTACCGATGTGCCGGGTGTGGTGATGACAGTGACGAGTGCCTTAGCGCAGTGCTCGGCGAAGGTATCGGGGTCGCTGGCGCCCTTGATGAGAGTGCTGTAGGCCGACACCATGGTGCTCTTGACGTCCTCTATGGTTGTCGACTGCAGCGCGATCATGGCGAATATGAGGCACCGCACTGACAGGGGCGTGAGCTCCTTGAGGTGCTGCATGAGCCGTTGGATGCGGTACGCCACACGACCCTGCACGTCTGGACCGGCGTCACGAGCCAGCGAACACAAACACTGCAGACCCGCGTGCCGCTTCGAACCCTGCACACACACCGACACGTACAGCCGTGAGACAGACACATACAGTGAGGTGCGGCTGTCGGGTCCCCCTCCGTGTCTTGACCGAGGGCAGTTTGTGTGTTCGCCTGAAGGTGTCTGCTGCTGGCTCGAGTTTGGATAGGAGCACATCCCTCAGCTGCCCTGGCGGAATATCCATGTGGCAGCTCGACAGAATCGACGCTGTCATCTCCTGCATCAAGGTGACACAACAATCGACATCCCCAATGCGCCCCCCCTCGTTCGCCTACCGTATTCTCCTTTGCGATGATGGATGCTATCCACAGGCAGACGATGGCGCTGCGACGCACTTCCGGCTCCTACATATAACATGCAGATGAATCCATTCATTCATTTAATCATTGTGGTTGAGATTTCCATGCATTTCTCTCGGTGACTTTTGAGTCGCAGAGCAGGAGGAGGCCAGCGATGGGATTGAGGTCCTTGACCCTGACAAAAAGGGCCTTGTCCAGCGCAACGCGGACAAAAGTCCTCGCACACAGCTGTTGGATCTCTGGGTTGCGGTGGGCAGTGAAGAGGATCAGGGGAGTTATGCCTGAAGCGCAATATAACAATGGACTGTTGGGCTCGGATGCGACTAGTCTAGTGCTTGTGAGATAGTCAATGTGTGGTGACGTGACCTCCGTTGTCCAGTACAGTCTGGTAGAACTGCTTGTTGAGGAACAGGGTGGCGATAGTCCACAAGGCGACTCGGGAAACGGTCGAGTCGCTGTCACATGCAAGAGATATCAGGGCCTACTACAGCGGAGAGACACAGACGGACACCATGTCCATTCATGCACTGTGGTGTGGGAGAAGCCTAACCTTCAGCAGCTCCTGTGGCTCTTTCTGAGCGACACTGAATATGAATGAAGCTGCCGTGTCTTGCACAAGATCCTGCTTGGCACGCAGAGCGGACTGACACAGAACGGCCAGACGACAGCACACAATGCGAATGGCCACTATGAAAGAGGCACACTCAACTGCTAACCATATACTGCTGGACGACAGGAGGGTTGACAAATCTGTATTTCTCGATGGCCGTGAAGTTGGCAAAAGCCAGATGCAGGATGTGCAGTGTGCCCTGCTCAGCCTGCCGCTGCTCGCCCCCCTCGCTTGCCCCTGGCCCGTGGCCCAAACTCAGCACCAGCATATCCCGGGTCCAACTCATGTAGATGGGGTTGCCGTGACGACAGAGGCTACTCGACTCACCGGCTTCGCTGACCTCAGGCAGAGGTGAAGACGGCCGGCCTTCGTCATGCGGTTCATCGTGGCCGGCGCTGATCTCACTCTTGACATCCGATGGCGCCACGCTGAGGTTGTCAGCAGCACTGCTTGTCGTACCGGATGATGGTTCTGCCGTGCCATCGCTGCTCTGTGATGTTCGTTGCTCCATGCCTGCACTGGCCTCGACCGAGAAGCTCTGAGCAGGCACCTGGAAGAAGGGAGAGAAGCAATGGCAAATGAAGGAGCAGAGACCCATATGTCGCATGCACCTGCCTTGTGGAGTGACAAGAAAAGCAGCGTCCACGCAGCGTTCTTCCTGACGATTGGGATGTTTGACGTGGCGACGGCATGTATGGTCTCCAACACGTGTGGCCGCACCATCTGCCGGATGTTCATGGGATTTCTAGCAAGATTAGCGAGAGTGGCCGATGTCCACTGCAACACACGGGGATCACTCGACGAAAGAATCATTCGGCCTGAAACAGCCAGCACCAGTCGTGACGACAATATCAAGAGGACACGCGCACTATACCAATAAGGGCTAGGCCATCTTTGTAGACGAGCATGCTCTGATTTGCATCGGACTGAGTAAGCAGGCACAAGGCAGAGGCCGTGCTGGTCTGAATCACTGGAGACGGATGGCTGCACAACTCCAGAAAGGATGTGATGCCCTGCGCACAAGTGCATGCCATCCATCCCCCACGGCCCACGCTCACGGCACCCGCTTCCTACTGAACGGCTACCAGATGTTCCGATAGTCTTGAAGCGCTGTCGTCGTATGCCGCCAACGAGGCCAAGGCAAACGATGCCGACACCAGACGCTGAGACACAGAGTGGGCGGTTGCACACACATCCATGCCGGTGGCAGGAGCGCCAGAGGGAGGAGCCGATGACGGCTGACCCGCCGCAGGCTTCCCTGCCATACTTTGCTGGGGATGCGTTGGAGCATGAAGGAACTTCTTGCAGATGCGCAGAAGGCTGTTGAGGCCGCCCTTGTTGATGACTGCGAGGCGGTTCTTGTCGTCAACGCAGAGAGTTGCGAGCAGGCTGGGGATGTGCTCCTGCAGGTCATCATTTGTCTTGAGACACTTGAGCAGTGGGTCCATTCCCTTGAGCTGACCGAACAGGCGAGCTGAGCTGGCATCGCAAATCGCAATGACCTGCACATCATGGCAGGACAAGTACAGTTCCAGCGGTGAGTCGTCGGTTACCCGACTCCTCACCCCCAGGTATTTGGTGACGATCCATCTGTCTCTCGCTTTGGGGCTCTCCAGCTGGTGGATGAAGTACTCGAAGAACTCCTCTGTGGTCTTGACACGATTGAAATATATCTTGAGCAGGTCAGGGAAGTCCTGCTTGATGTCGCGATAGATGTGGAACACCCGCTTCTGCTTTCCATCCTCCTCGCTCTCTCCCTCTCCTTCGTCAACCGCTGCCATCATCTCGTCAGGAATGCCGCTTTCTTGCAAGCCCAGCCCTTCGGGCCCTTCCATCCCGTCTCTCTTTTTTTGCTTGCCGGGGGGCTCATCCGACAGGTCGGCCTCGGTCTCTTCTGGAATAGACGCTAGGAAGGGGTTGATGCGGCGAATCCTCTTTGGCCTTGACGGTGCCGATTCGTTGACTAACTCCTTGATGATGCGCCGGTCTTTTTTTTTAGCGTCCTTGGGGCTTGGGGGGGCGATGATGCTCTTGCCATTGGGGGGCTCCGTAAGAGCAGCTTTGCTCCCTGATGCTGCACCAGCCGGTGGCGGGCGAAGTGACGCCATGGTCTTCCGCGAATTGGGCTAGTGCCAATTTGCGTCTAAACAACGCGTCCACGTTCGATCACGATCGTATGAGAGGAAAAGGCAAATCAGTAGCCGTGACGTGTTGCTTCTACATACTATGGACACGGCAATGCATCAACAAAAGAAGCTTCATGTTTTTGTGTTACGTTTGCGCGAAAATACACGAAAATACCTTCGGTGTGGGAGATGCTGTTGACCTTCGAGGACGCCAAGCATGCCTCACTGCAGGGCGAGTGAGAACACGCATGTTGTGTGTGAGCTCGCAGACGATCATGACAAGAAGGAGGAAACTCTCCTCTGTATGCCCGAATGACGCCTCCAAAACCTCGCCGCTGCATCCGCCTCCACCTGACGGCTACAACGATGTGCGATTTGCAGTGGAAAGCCCCGCGAAGCGACGGGGGCGTCCTCAGCCCGAGATAGAAGAGCCTTTCCACGACAGCCACGTCCCTGCAGAAGAACACACGAGTAGCAGACGAGTGGACAGAAGAAGGCATGCGCGCGCGCACCGAAGGGGACGGCGCACTTCTACGATATCCGTACGCCCATGAACACACTTGCATGCATACGGGACAACCCGACACTCTTACATAGTGCGTGGCAACCCGGTCTCTTCACGCATAACGCGAGGCAACCCGGCAATTAAACTGAGACACGAGGCGACGGAGGGTGTGCATGCGGCTCTTTTATTGGAGAGGGAGGCAGGCACCTGGCACACGCAGGAGGGGAGGCAGACAGAGATGGACACTTACCAGTACACACACAACACGCACCCCCACAACATATACTTGGCACACCACCTCCTCTCGCCCGGGGGAAGTATACCCCGCGCCATCGGGGTAAAAACGGACTGGCATTTTTCTCCGAAACCCAGCTAGGGGTGAGCCGGACTCGCCGCCCTCGTTTTCGCAGGGTTGCTAGACCGTTTCCATGGATGCATTTTCATGCGCTCATAGGAGACGCTTGATGAATGAATGAATGAATGAATGAGTCTTCAACGCGTTCGGAAGCAAAACGTTCAAAGAGAAAAGGAAAAACGGTAGCGGTGTGGTGTTACTTTTTTTATGTGAGTGAACGTTAAACTGATGTACCCTAAGTGAACGTAGAAAGCTCGCGTTCGGAGGGAGGACACGTGACGCAAAAACGAATACAGGATCATACTCCCTCCAAACGAAATATCGCCATCCCTTATGTCCTTCTTGAGTGCCTTTTCGCAGGTCCCTCAGTGCCGCATCGCCTTTTTTCCAGCTTCTGGCGGTTGACGAAAGAGATCTCGCCAACTATCATGTAGTGGATATGCTTGCAGGACTCCTCTCTGCTCAAATGCGGTCACCATCTGTCTGCTGCTGCCCCGCTTGGCGCGGTAGCCTCTTCTCGCCACTCTCGAAGTCATCAAAGAGGCGCAGAAGCGAATTCGAGCCTTCGGTGTTGTCTGCAGCCACACCGGTAAGTGCCTGTACTAAGCCTTCACGGCTTTCATGACGGTTGCCGGTGAAAGGCACATGCGCAATGGCGCGATGTATTTGTTGTCCCTCAGGTCTTTGTGGTGGTTCAGGGAGTGGCTGCAGATGATTTGGAACGCCCGCATCTGCTCTTCGTTCAATCGGTAACGGCTCGCCCACTCAATGGAGAAGGCCTTGTCGTAGACTGTCTCAGGCGGCTTGAACGCGGACGCCGGCTGCGCCAGCAGTCGAGTGAGATCGGCGGCACTCATCGAGTGACCACCGTGTGTGGAGAGATTTGACTCGGAGAGAAGCTACTCAATCAGGAGGCTTACTTCATCTGACGTGCCGCGGCTGTGGCCGATTTCACTTAGCTTGTTGCGTTGCTGGTGCAGGTCATCGTTGGGCTGATCCTGGCGGCTCGCATTTGATTGACAAGCCGATTGATAGTCATCGAGGGCAGTCTTCGATAGCCCCTTCAACAGGCACATCCAATTGTATCCAGCGATGCATTGATATACTTCGCGAAGCACGTCTTGAAAACGGGAGCAGCAGGGGGGGGGCTTCTTGTGTTCTTGGTGCACTTGGTGCAGCCAGTCTGAGTACCTGCATGTTATCGCCACGTCTGTCTTAAAGATCTGCATGTTTATCGAGCTCTCGCCATTGTTGTGTTCATGTTTTTGAAACTCTCGCCATTGTTGCATGCGTCGGTATGCAAACACTCGTGTGCACGTCTCTGTGAACCATAATTCAACCACCACTACGCACGCTGCATTCGACCCCCGCCCGATTCGCGGCATAACAATTGCACAGCATTTCACAAGAAAATTAGATGAAATGAGAAATAGGAAAAGATCCCAGGGCGCGCCCACGCCGTGGGTGCCCCTTACTCGGAATCCCCGTGTAACCTTCGCCCTGCTCAGGGCGAACGACGCGGGACGGGTTTCGTGAGATCTTGTCCTCTGATGTGGCGCGCATTGTGGGTGTGGCTCTACTTCACCTTCGTTCAACCCGCTATCTGCGCGTCCTTGGCCATCAGCCTTCCTCGCTTCTCCGCTGCGCTTTTTGTCCCCTCTCTGTTGGCAGCTCTGGCAGTGATCTCCTTCGTCGGAGGTGTTATTACAGCAGTTGTGTGGCTTTCAGGCCCTGTATCGGAGGGTCTCAGCTCCGGCGCCTCTGCGCCGTACTATCAGCCACTGTCAGGGAAGTGGGGAACAACGTCGACAATTTGGGATGGAACGAGGATGGTGATAATAGCCAATCCTACCGCGGGAGCGGGAAGAGGACGAGAAGTAACGGAGCGCCTTGTTCTACCGACACTCCAGGTTGGAATTAGTGACACCATGCACGTGGAGTGGTGCCTGAGGATGCGAGTTTTTACCTATTCCTTCAGACGCTGCCTTGTGCTTGTATCGAAGTGCTATACACGACGTGCCTCGGTTCTGGCGTCCAGCTCACGCGGCGTCTGTTTGAGCCATCTCATGCGCAATTGGCCATTCGTACTCCAGATCCCTCCGAAGCTGCTTCCGCCGAGTGCCTGACAATCCCTCTTCTCCCACCCGGTGATCATCGTGCAGACGTGTCAGCCGTCGTGGTGGTCGGGGGTGATGGAACCATGCAAGAGGTAGATAGATCCATCCTTGCACAGCCTCATTCTCTTTGCAATGGTTTTACGTTTCCGTGCTGGGCAGGTCATTGGCGGCCTTATGAGTGTATTCGACTGTTCTGCTATCCCGTCGTCCGATGTCTTAAGAGTTCCCCCAGTAGGCATTGTTCCCATGGGGACTGCCAACTCTCTCGCAAGCGACTTCCTGTTCGCACCACAAGCGCCAATGTCTGTTGGGGGGCGAAACAAGGAGCGTGCGCTGTGGAGCAAGGGGCTTTCCGGGATGGAGGATGTTGTGCGATGGGCTGTCAATCGAATCGTCCAGGGAGTTGCGGTGCCCATAGACCTGCTCGAGTGCGATGGCGGGGGAGAGGGACGAGCAGATGGCAAGGTTTGGGGGAGCAATGGTGTCTATCTGGGCATGCTGTTGGACGTGAATCTCGTTGCTGAGCGGTTGCGGTGGATCGGTACGTACCATCTGAAATCGTACCTCATCACATATGTTTTTTCCTATCCTCATATCAGGCCCAAAGCGGTTCGATGTTGCCGGACTTTGGTGTATCATGCAACGTCCCGCGTATTTGTTCCGCATGAAGTATGTCACACCCGAGGGAGAGAAGCGTGAGCGGACTGAGTTGCTTCACTTATTGTCAGTGGATAAAGTGCAGGTACTGGTCAATGCACATCTATATAGTCGATCTACATCATGAGACACGTGCGACATAGTCATTTAATCAACAACAATGCTGTACAGCATTGGACTGACAACAAGCGCGTCGCTTTCAACACTCAGCTTGACAACGGCATCGCACAGGTATAAGAGATTCGATGCAGTGCCAGCCTGTGACGAGGTCGATTGCTGTGTATGACATAGGTCTTGTGTGTGAAAGCACTGCTTCCTCGGAGACAGCTGCTAACCCTGATGCTCCAGGCAAGTACACTTTTCCTTAGGACCCTACACTCTTCCTTTGGTCTTCCCAGCTTGACAGAGGAGCTCACTTCAGCCATCCAGCAGTGGAAGTGTTCGCTGTCCGACAGATCAGTATTTTTCTCACGTCTCCAGGGCGTTTCTGTGTGGACGGTGAATTCTACGATCACAGTGGTGAAGTGCATGTGAGGGTACGACAAGCTGCTATCCCTTTGCTCGTTGGTAGAGAAGACGCTGATAGTGCTTCTCTGGAACCCATCGATTGAATGATTTTGTTGTGTTCCAACGAGGGGTTTACCGATTGCTTACTGCAATTGTCGCTTTCTGTTGTTGACTAATGACTCTTACATGTGCCATACTGCAAACTACGTGTCCCTTACATGCAGAAGATTTCGAGTAACGCCTTCTCGTTGTGTACTGTCGCGTTTCTACAATCACATACGCTCGTTCTCTTCATGAAATGCTGAAATCCCTCAGCTGAATGAAGTGTCAATGCACATAGTTTCCCTTAACAGTTAGAAGACAGAGAACACACTCTGTCGTACACTCAACAGGGCACGGTCCATATCGTCGGTGACTACCCTGTAAAGAGTGCATGACCGACTCTTCTCAACCCTTGAATCGCATCAATCTGGAAGGGACATTCAGACAGGGCAATGTCCAAGAGGCATGCATACCCACTCACCTGGCGGTCGAAGTAAGGCACGTACACAACCCCAACACCTCGTTCCCTCGCCAACTACAGGGTGAAACAAACAAGGGACACCAGGGTGCAAAGGGTAGATGTCACGTTCTCTACCTGGTTGATTTCATCAACCTTTGAGCTCTGCCCCTCTATGAAGCGCTGCGCGTATTCAGATAGTGACGCGAATTTCTGCCCATCGTCCTCATCCGCATCTACACTAAACACCTGAAGAAGGTCACTTATGTGCACCTCGCAATAGGGCACCGAGACAACTTACCTGGTTGACGATCAGGCGTCTGACGAGCATCCCCTCGTGTTTGAGTGACTTGACAAGACGCTCCGTCTCAGCCACTGCCAACTCTGAGCAGAACACAGACGCCTGAGCGTGCTCGTTTACTCATAGCATGACCGCTCATTTACTATACCCGTAGGAATGGTCACAATGCAGAATTCCGCCTGTGCGGGATCGTGGAAAAGATCATCAAGCTCAGCCATCTTGTCCTGGAACTCCTTCAAACGATCACGACCGGATGCCCCATCCGATGAAGAGTCTACAAACACCATTCTATGCCTCCAATTATGTTCTTCGCCCTGCCCAGCCGTCTCTGGTTGCCCACCGTTCCTTCTGGTCAGATCCATATCTTCCATCTCTCCTGCCAGCATTGCTCCCAATGATCCGAAGCCACTACTTTGGAACCTATCGCGGATTTCGCGCAACCTCTGGAAGAAGCTGTCGAGGAACTCCGGAAATGCAAGTAGCCTGAGTGTATGGCCCGTTGGAGCTGTATCGATGATCAGACGATCGAATGGGCGCCCGTCATCCGTGGGACGGTTCAGGATGCCAAACACCTGACAGCAGTGCAGGAGGGCCGGCCATATGAGTTATAAGCTGGGTACCTTTGATAGTGCAACGAGTTCGTCTGTGCCAGGGGGGGCAGTATCGAAGAGGTCCTCGATGTCGAACAACGACCCTAGACAACTGCAGTGGTGTATAAACTTCGTGCTTCATGCGTACGCTTACCTACGCCGTCTGTGCCCGTCAGTGCTCGCAAGTTGCGGCTGCTCTTAAGAGAAGCCCTTGTAGTCGCAAGAGAGGTAGAAAGCGCCTCGCGAAACTCTGCCACTGTACCCTGGAATAGCACCCAAATGCATTCGCCGACTGACCGTCCTGGGATTTCCTCTCTTACTTCGGTATCGATCTCGAGTGCAAAAAGCTGGCCTCTACTGGTAGCGCTTTCCAGCAATAGTCGCAGGTCCGTACCTAAAAGGCGTCACGCTGCAGTCTGTGAGCCTCATCCTTGTGCTGCATGCTTACCCTCCGAGTCGATCCTGACAAGCTGGCCACCACCAAGGTTGACCTTCAGTGCGTCCCCAAGGGAATGTGCGGGGTCGGTGCTCACAACCAGCGTCTTGAAACTGAATCACATAGCATCAAGGAGTAGGAAAAGACAGAAGCTAATTCCTCGTACCCTTTTTCAGCCATTTTGATCGCCAGTGCTGCTGAGGAAGATGATTTACCTACTCCGCCCTTCCCGCCCATGATGATACAACGGCGCTTAGGGTCCTCAAACAGATCCGACCTGCAGCACACAAGGGCACACGCCGCACGGACAGCTGTAAGCCAGCTGCATGCCGTGCCCACCACATGGGAGCATTGGCTCGGCCGAAGGCCTCTTCTCCAAAGTACCTCAGACCGAGAGGGCCCGTCACCTACACCCACGCAAGCCCGCGGGTTGACGTGTTGGTCTCACTTCTCTACTCACCTCGACATCAAAGTAAGGCACGAATGAGAGCCTCAGGTTGGCTTCTTGTGCCAGTGTATGCAGCCGTTGCAGGCTCTTCACTTGATCGCTCTGTAGTTGCTCGACAAAGGACGCAAGAGTAGCCACCCGGCGAGTTTCCTGTATCTCTCCGACTTGTTCTGCGGAGCCTGCTGTCATCAGTTTGTTCACAATGAGATGCTTGACTGCAATGCCCTCCTTCTGAATACGCACGCATTGACACGCGAAAGAGAGTGTTGTTTTTGCGAGCTAATGCGGTGTCGCACCACCTTAAGTGATGCCAGCAGCCGCTTGGATTCTGCGATAGCCATCTCTGTTGGGATCGTGACCACACAGAACTCTGTCGTTTCGCTGTTACGAAGGAGGCCACGTAGCCCTAGCAAGCGATCCTTAAGAGCCTCGATACGTTGAAGGGCGGCATCCTATACCAGCACATAAACGACGCAAGATACAGCATTCACCTCCACACAAACGTGCCAGATACCTGGTCAAGCAATGGCTCTGCACCTTCGGTGCCCCCGCTGACAGACGCCAGCATTTTCTTCAGACTTCTCGTTAGTGCGTCTAACTGATTCTTGAGCTTAATCACTTTGCCCAAAAAGCCGTCGAGAAACTGAGGTGCCGCTAGAAGCCTCAACGTGTGACCAGTCGGAGCCGTATCGATGACAAGGCGATCAAATCGAGAGCCCCCGGAACTTCCTGAGACAAAGCGACATACTACCATTAGATCGCGTACGATTCGTCCGCTTACCACCACCCTTTCCTCTCGTCAGTTGCAGCACCTTTGCAATGGCCACAAGCTCATCGATTCCGGGCGGCGGGTTCTCGAAGAGTTTCACCATGTCACCAATTCCGATGCCTTCAAGCACTGTTGTTCCGATGCCGAGCTTTCGCGACAACTCGATGGCATCGAAAGTCTCCAGCGCTGCCTTCATCTCGATAACAGCCTGCCCCGCGTCCACCTCCAGCGCCCATAGATTGTCCACTCCTTCGACGGCCGTCATCTCATCCGGCGGGGCATGCAGTTGCTGTCCAAGTGCATCTCCGAGGCTGTGCGCTGGATCTGTACTAATAATCAATGTCCGCAGGCCCTCATCTGCGAAGCGAACAGCAGTTGCGGCTGCTGTTGTCGTCTTCCCAACCCCTCCCTTGCCCCCGAAAAGGATAAGACGCGTTGAAGTTGAACCGCCGGGCGCCTGCAAGAGGTCGTTCAGCGACGATGAGGCAGAGGAATGTTGCTCAGTAAAGACGGCTGACAGAGCACAGGGTCTCGGAGATCTCCGGGACTTGACGCTTTGAAGCGAGGTGGCGGATAGAGGTTCAGGCGCCGTCACGAAGGCGGCGTGGCACTCTTCCCTGAACAGGCACAGAGGAGAAATCAGGAGCATGCGCCGCATCTGCGGAGAGGAGGGTCCTGCGCCTAGGGTGCTTCCTTGAATGCAACTGGGCCTGACGTTTTTGCTCTGGCTCGCCCAGTGGGCAAGAAGCGTCCGATCAGGGTTTGCTACTAGCCGTTGTTCTCTGTTCGCTTCCAAGCTATGTAGCTTGACACACTGAAGC